ACGGGCTTGAAGACGGATCGAGTATGCGTTTGTTTTCACCAACCATCATTATCGTAATGCAATGATCAAATCAGAATTTGGCTGTTTCATCTCTCGAAAAATTCCCAGTTCCTCTCGCCGACCGAAGTGTATTCTGTAGGCAAGCATGACTTTAAAAATTTATATGACATTTTTTCAGGAACCTTTTCTCTTGCTTTGTAATAATGTACGAAAATAAAGCAAGCCTTTGCCTCTAATACAGCTAAGTACGGAATTTTGGAAATCGATTTGAAGTAAACTTCTGATTTCTTAAAACATGGTTGAGAGGCAGCATTCTGAAAACTGGTGAAATTTTTTCCTTCCTGGCTGCGACTTACAATCAGAAAATGTCTTCCAAATCAAATTGACTATCTCAGAATCGCTTCTGACTAGATGCTCTTCTCCATGTATCACAAATAGATAGAACTGTTTTTGTCTGAAAACTTTTGCATGTCTGGGACCCAATAATCGATTTAAAACAGTGGTCATTGCTCATACGCAGGTAATTTTCGCAAATACAATAATAAGTGTGTATATATTAGGTCGTTCCGAAAGTAATGTCGCTTTTTTCAATCGAAGGCCACATTTCACGGAATCAAGATTTTCAAGAGCTCTTGGGATCATTCGATGCAGCATTTCGTCCTCTTTCTAATGGTTCTAATTTTATTGTATAGTATTCAATGAGCTCTCAATAAATTACCAAAACCTGCGACTCATGCTTTTTGTCATAGTCAAGTTGACTAATTTTCCAAATTTTTGTACTGATTCCCTGAAAATGTACAAGTAACAGATGAATAGAGCAGACCCTACAGGACACAAAACAATTTTTTGCTTTTCCTTAGCTTGCTTCTTTGAGTTTCTGGAGTTAATTTTTCAAGGCCATCAAAGTCCATATTTGGTCAACTCAAACCTCACAGAACAACAACCGGCAAGCAACTCGGGTGCCATTCGACGCAGCTTTTTCTCCTCTTTCTACCAGCTGTCTTCTGTTTCCAATTCATCAGGTTTTTCGGGATAAAATCATCATAATGCAGGTTTTCCAGGGCGCCCCGAGCTGTACCCGGAATTTTCTAAAGTTGCTAATCTGAAGCGGTGAATGCTCATTTGGTTTGTAAAATTAGTGTCAAACCATAATCCATCTTTGTAAGTTTTAAAATCCGAAGATTTATTGCTGTTTGATGCATTTGTGTCTGAGACGAGCCTGCTGAAACTCGGTGGTTCCATCAAAAAATCAATACAAAAATTATGACGAGCTATGGAAAGTAGAGAAAAGTTGTGCTGTTTCCTGTAGGGTTTGCTCTATCCATCCATTACTTGGACTCCTTCCGAGGGTTGTTATAAAAACTTAGAAAAATTGTGAAACTTGACTTTCTTAAAAAGCCTGGGTCGCAGATTTTGGTAATTTTTGTAAAAGCTCATTGAATATGATGCCTTGATACTATAACCATTAAAAAGAGAATAAAATGCTGCATCGAATACCTCCAAGATCTCTTAGAAACCTTTGTTCCATCAATTGTGGCGCCCGTTTGAAAAAAGCGACATTACTTTCGGAACGACCTAATATTAGGTCGGTGCAAAAGTTTTGTCAGTTTCTTCGATCCATCGGCAAACACGTCAGAATGAAGATAAGCTAACACTTCAAAATGTATCCGATGCAGAATTTCTTCCTCTTTCTAGCTGCTGAAATCCCATCGTGTTTCGTTGCGAGAGTGACGAGATCTCGTTGGAAATTACAACCACTCGTTTTTACCATGTCCAACTTCCGCTAATTTTCAAAATTTTTATATGAGACTTTCGGAGGAGCCCTAATAACCAACAGATAGGGCAAACCTTTTGCCAACAGAAGCAATTTTTTGTAGCTCTATGGCTTGTCTTTCATAATTTCTACGATTTATTTATTGAAGTGGCCCAATTTTACTTTCAGCCTATTTTAACTTCATAGAACGTAAGATATCAAACACTTCAGTTACCATTCGGTGTAAATTTTTCTCCTCCTTCTAGTGCTTGTCTTTTTTGCCGGGAAAGGCGAAATTTGTGAGGGAAAATCGCAGTATTTCTCAATTTCAAGGGTGCGCACTGACGTAACCTATGTTTCAAAATCTTTATGATTTGAAGCGAAAATCGCTCATTTACGTGTAATTGTAGCGGTACTAATAATCGAGTGTTGAAACCTCTGTTTTCTGTAAGTTTTGCAATGTTTGGTGCAATATCAGGTTATGCGATTTTTCCAAAACACACGACTTTTAGCAAATTATTTGGCAAAAATCTAAAAAAGCGGCTGAAAAAAAGAAAAACATTGCATGAGTTGGCAAAAGGTTTGCCCTATCTGCTGGTCATTGTGGCTTCTCACAAAGTCTCATACAAAAATTCTGAAAATTAGCGAAAGTTGGAGATGGTAAAAACGAATGGTTGTAATTTCCAGCAAGTATCTCGTCACTCTCTCAACGAAACACAATTGAAGTTTAGCGTCTGGAAAGAGGAAGAAATTCTGCATCGGATACATTTTGAAGTGTTAGCTTATCTTTATTCTAACGTGTTTGCCGATGGATCGAAAAAATTGACAAAACTTTTGCACCGACCTAATATATACAGGGTGTCCCAAAAGTAAGTACACACTTTTCAGTAGTTTTAATCCCTCTTCCCATTGTGTCTTTCTCCTCCATTTAAGTACCATTTACTAGAGGAGGCTTCAACTTAGATTTACAGTAATGAGCGAATTACCGATCGATCTTCATTACTGTAGGATAACTGCAGAAACTTCGACAAGGATTTCAAGCCATTGGAAGCCATATTCTGCCTTGGAACAAAACCAAACAAGCTAAAACTCTTATACTGAGGTAATGGAAGTTGCTGATTTCAAATATGAAATTTGCACTTTACTGTGATGCTTTTTTCCAAAGTTAAGCCAGGTAAACCGTAATAACCGAATTCCCAGTATTTGTCAGAAATGTGATTACACCGTCAAAAAAGCTGAAAACACTCATAAAAAGTTGTGTAATGGAATTAGCGTGCGCGAAAACCTTAGTACACTATTTTTCAGATTTTTTGAAAAAATTTTTGTCAGATGGCATATTCCACAATAGTTCTACTTGCTGAAAATTTTTACCGTAATCCTACAGTGATGAAGAGCGGTCGGTGACTCGCTCAATATTGTAAATCTAAGTTGAAGCCTCCTCTACAGAATGGTACTTAAATGGCGAAGAAAGACCCATTAAGAAGAGAGACATTGACGATTGAAAAGTGTGTACTTACTTTTGGGACACCCTGTTATACAGGGTGTCCCAAAAGTATATATATGTCCCAAAAAAATGTTAACATTGTTTGATCGTTAATAACTCCCTTGCTTTCAAGTCTTTCGCCGAGTTTTAGGTATCATTTTGTAGAGCGAGGATAAACTTAGATTTGCAGTATGAGGCGAATCATCTAGCTCTCCTCTTTACTGTAGATATACGGTAGAAATTTTGACAAGGATTTTAGGCCATTGAAGGCTATTTTCTGCTTCGAAACATAGCCAAACAAGCCAAAATCTCTTGCACTATGGTAATGAAAGCCGCTGATTTCGGATATGAGATTTCCATTTTATTATGACACTTCTTTTCAAAGTTATCCTATGTAAAATGTAATAACTGACTTCCTAGCATGTGCCAAAAATGTGATTACACCGTCAAAAAGGCTGAAAACGCTCGTAAAAAGTTGTGTGGTAAAATCAGCTTGCGCGAAAACTCTAGTACACAATTTTCCAGATTTTTTGAGAAAATCTTGTCAGAGGGCATACTTCACGACGGTTCCACATGCTGGAAATTCTTACCGTAATCCTACAGTAACGAAGAGCGAACGGTGATTCGCTCCATACTGTAAATCTAAGTTGAACCTCGCTCTATAGAATGGTGCTTCAAGCTCGCCGAAAGACATGAAAACAAGGGAGTTATTAACGATCAAACAGTGTTCACATTTTTTGGGACACCCTGTATATTAGGTTATTTCAAAAATTCGTTCGCATTGTTCTCTAAAAAATCGTAACTCTCTGCTATCTGCCTAGATTTGCCTGGGATAATTTTTCCTATTATGAAGAAGTCGTGTAGTTTCTAAATATAACTTAAATTCGTTCTACCAAGCACACGTCGCAGAGTTAAAAATGCAAAAAGAAGACCACTCAAATTTTGGTAATTTTAAAAAAGCTCACCGAAAATCTTAGAACGTTACAAAAAATACCGAAACAAACACAAACATATGTTTTATGCTCTCGTCTTTCTAGCTAGGCAAACTACTTGTTGAACGACTTTTCTTATAAAAAGTAATGATTCCTTTAGGAATGTGCTATACGTTTCCATGAAAATCAAAATTGTTCTTCCTTAGCACAAAAATCCCTTAGCTAGAAAGAGAAGGTCACAAAACCCCTGTTCTTGGCTTTCTCGCCTTTTTCGTGACGTTTTTGGGCTTTTTTGGGCATGCTCAAAAACTGCAAAACTAAAGCAATTCTCTTTATTTGCTTGTAACTTTCGATCTTATTCGTTTTAATTCGTGGAAAAGGCACTACAGTAAAGAGCATAATTTTCTCTATCAAATAATAACACTTTCGGAATTTTTCGTGATCCAGCTTAAAAAATGCCAATCTTGAGCAAGTTTATTCAATTGCTTCTAACTCTCGAACTTTCTCACGCTTTTTCATGGAAAAGACACTGTTGTAAAGAGAAAGGTTTCTTCTTTCAAATAAAAATTAAAACGGGAAATTCCACCTAGAAGGAAGGAAGTTATGATATTTTAAAAAACTGGCGAACGAACTTTTGAAATGACCTAATATATATATATATATATATATATGTATATACAATAATACGATAATATGTGTTAATGACGTTTTCACTCATTTCGCACTAGTTTTCGTCATTCGTATGAATCAAAATGATAACCTTCGTCAAAGAAGAGCACACAGTCTGAGCGCACGGTTCCAGCAAAATCCTAATAACAATTTATTCAGAATTTCCGTTTTCTTACAATCATTTACTTGGAACAATAGTAGCCATGATGTGTAAATAAATGAACAGCAGACTTGTTACAGCAGAGGCAAAATTTATTAGAGACTGGTTTGCACGTTGTTTGAGCAGCTTTTCCAAAAATGGAAATGAATTGACGACAAACATGGAAGCTATGGAAGTATGTACAACGGTTCAGGGATGATGTGATCGAGCTATGAAAAACACAAAGTCAATTGTACAATACTTTGGGGGGGGGGGAGGCTGTTTGTTGACTTTTGCAGTTCTTGTTAAGGTAATGATAAAAAAGATTGTGGAGGTCAGCATTTACAATTTGAGGGTTATGGTTAATCACAAAAGGCCAGGGTATAATAGGGTTGAGAATCCTTCAATGGTATGTCATGTAGAGGTTCTTCGTCAACGCCGGCTGAAGTTTCCTCCATGATAATGTCTCCATCGATGCTGCCGAGTTGTAGTCCATCCAAAGAGTTCATTAGGTCTAAAAAGCATTTTAGAGGCTATGAAAATTACAAGTTTTCCAAAAAAGTCTCCTATAGGGCTTCAAGCAGCGGTAATGAGGATTTTCTGTGAGCATCAGCTATTCTTATTCATTGTCAGATCCTAACTGGTTAGAGCCTCGGCAAAAATTCGTTTTCAGTTTTCACCTTTTTAGAGCGTTCTCGCCATTAGAAATCCATATCCGGGCTTTTCAGCGCATAAAAATGGGGAAAATAAGCCTTTTCCAAAGGTCTCCAGGTCCGCATTCAGTGAAAAATTCGTGGGCGGAGTCCAAAACGAGGGAGGCGGGGCGCGGAAGACTTCCTGCGTATTTTCACTGAATACGGACCTAGAAATCTTTGAAAAAGCTTATTTTCGCCATTTTCATACCCTAAAAAGCCCAAATATGAGTTTCCCATTCCGAGAAGGCTCCGAATAGGTGAAAAACTGAACAGCGAAATTTTGCCGAACGGTGCCTTTAAACAGAGCATAACCGAGATGAATGTTCTGAAAATGTTCTTATTTTGGCCCAAATTTGTGAAAACACGGAGTTTCTCTAGTCAAAATGATTCCATAGGATACGATAGTTAAAGAGATAATTGAGAGATAAGAGATATGCGCATTTTACTAGTTTTTGAAAAAGAACTGGTCGTATTGCGACAATAAGAGCTCATAGAAACAAAATCAGACTGCTTTTTACTGATCGCTAAACATGGAAGAGGTCTAAAACTTCTAATTTTTTATGAGTCTCATGACCTGCCCTTTTTGACCAAGATGAATTTATAATGAGCGGATGTCTCTGCGAAAAGTTATTTTTCCAAGATCCTCATCTGAAATTATGATTTTTTTAGACTCGTAACTTTCTGATGTACATAATAAGAAACCACATAGACAATGTACGAGACAATCTGTCTGGTTACTAGTTTTTTCAAATGATTTTTTCGAATTTTCGGTTCAAGAACTACTTTTCAACTTATGTACATCAATATAGCAAGTTTCTGAATCAAACAGGCAAATGAGAGACGAGAGAATCAAATCCTAAGAATCATTTTTTTCAATTTTTATTCCATCTACTAGCAGAAAATACAAAATTTTGCATATTTTGAGTCAAATGTCTATCCGTAATGATTCTCTGCGTTTCCAATGGGAAATTTTATTCAGAGCTCGCCACAGGTGGCTTGTAAGCAACTTGGACATCGTTTTTGGGGCAAAAAGCAAAGGGATCGTTTTCGAGGCCAAAAAGACAGATTTTTTAGTTCACGTTTCGTTTTCTGAGGGTTCTTTTACGTTTGGGGTTTGGGGTCAAAGGAGACTAAATTACCGAAAGTTAAGGAGAATTTCGTTTTTTGCTTTCTAAAAGGCACCTCGTGCCGAGCCTTAATTTTATATACATCTCCTAGCAAAAGAATAGTGAGCTCTAGAATCCACAGGTTCTTGTGACCTAAAATAGGCTGTACAAAGGCTCGCTTCCAAATTGATTATTTGCAATATTTTAGTAACTTGCGAAATCGAACCTTTTTTGTGTACTGTACAAGTAACTTTCACCGTTACAGGAACTCATAAAAGGTTGGCGAGCAATGATGAACAATGTTCTTATCACTGCCAAACTTCTTTCGACAGTTTCTTTTTTTTTGCAGAGCAGTCACGTTATGCCTTTGATAAAAATTCTCTACATGCAATTTTGTCATAAAGTCGATAAGAGCTCATCAAATTTCACATCTTTGAAAAAAAGCTTACATGACAAGATATAAGAATAAACCGGGCTCTTGATGACAGCAGCCACGTGTTGAGCGCGCTAACAAAAAAAGAGACGCAAAAAAATGTGATAGTGTCGAACAAAGTGTGGACTTTAGAAGTTACGAATCATGCTGGCGATATTCCACATCAAAAATGGGCTATGAAAATTTGCGCCCAAGCGCTAGGAGACTAGTGGACAAAATTTTCTGACTGTGATATAATATGTATGGAGTCCAATGGATATTGCTGTAATTTCAGACTTCAGCTTAAAATCTAGATAAGTTTGTAAAAAAATGTTGAATTAGAAAAAAACCGAAGAAGTCCATTTGAAGTTGACTGAATCTCTATTTAACCTATCGACGATGATGATTATTTTTTCGTGGCGGCGCTGTGGGACGACGCGATTTTACACAACACTTTCGGCGCGTAAAACTTTTGTGAATATTTACGAAATGTGACAATGTTTTTTGAACAACTACAGCCATTTTTTTGGACGATGAAGTTTACAGGTTCCAAAAGTGCAATAATTTGGAAAAAATACTGAACTGTGGAAAAATACTAGACCTGAAAAGGTTATGATTTTGCAAGGGGTATGGGCCACCGGTGGCCCACATCGTCCCTGGCGGCAAAAGTTATGGGCCATCGGTGGTCCACATCGTCCCTGGCGGCAAAAAGTTTGTGGGCCACCGGTGGTCTACATTGTCGTCAATGAGTTAAGGAGACGAAAATGTATCAGCCCCTTTTGAAAACTGTAAAATCTATAAATAAAAATTGAGTTTGACCACATCTGAATGATTAGCATTTTGATCAAACAATTTAGGTAATTCTAATTTTTTTCAAAAGTGAAGTCAACACCTTATCTGAGACACAAAGCATCCCCCAGTCATTGTCAAAACTACACACTCGCAAGTATTTTTCCTAGCATCTCTAGCAAAAACTTCTCTAATGTTTGCATTAGAGCAGGAGCAAAAAAGGCTGTTAAAGTAGACGAAAGTGATTGCATTAGAAAGCTCACCTCTCAAAAAGTCGTCCTCTGTTCGGGTAGGAAAAAACTTTCTGAAAACGGCCTGATTTTGCTCGATCATCATTAGCATAGCTCGGCATGCTCGTAGAAATCCCTCTGTAGTGTTTTTACATCTTGGAAACAGTATAGGCGTAAACAGCATGATGACATCTGCAAAACGATAAATTTTGAAAATTACTGCAATTTCTCAGAAAGATAACCTGTGATTCAACTGGTTTGGCGGATGGAAGGCGGGGCTTTGTGACCTAATTAAGGCCGCTCGCGCCCGCAACAATCTGCGTCTCTCGTGATCGTGCTCTCTGGTCATTATCGCCCTAATTAGGCCACGAAGCCCCGCCTTTCAGCAGCCAAGCCAATTGAATCAAAGGGTAAAAAATTATAGGCTAGCCTTTTCAGCTGCATCGGATAAGAAAAAAGCGCGAAAAAAATTTGGCCCAAAATTTCCGAAATGTCAGAGATATAATGCATGGAAGCTTGGAACTTGGGCAGTAGAACATTTCATACATTACAAAATATTATATGACGTGGCTTCGATGAACTATAGAAATTTTCTCTAACAAGAATCAAGGGGTGAAACGAACGAAGGGCGTTACCCAGGTAACACCCCATAGGTTTCATTTGTACCAGTGATCAATCTGATATCTCGCCAAGTACCGTATTCTTTGTTATCGGACCAATCAGGCGACTCTGAATACGGTAACGGACGAGAGTTTAAAGCGCATTTGTTAGTGCGAGCAATATGCGTTGCGGTTTGGACGACGACCTACCCAAGGTCGCCAATCCAGTAAAAAAATGAAGCTGTAAAAAGTTACAGTTAAAAACTGAAATTTTGAATTAACGCCCCTAAGAAATATTCAAAAGACAATTTGGGTTCCTAGGAAATTTTAAAAAAATCAAGTTATTCACAAAAGAAAGAAGGCACTTGCGTCTTCCAGTTGTACTTATGTAACTTACTTCCGCTGCCCATTCCCTCCCCCCCCCTTCCTCACTTCACTTAGTTTTCTTCTAAGAAAAACTTTTACCATAAACGAATCAATTCTTCTCTCACTTTCTTCTCTCATATTTGCTTAGGATATTTTCTCCCCCAAAATGGGCTTCCAGTAGAAAACAGGAAAGGACCAGATTTCATGACCTTTGAGAGGGGATATAGTATTTTCAGCAACGAATAACAGCGAAAAGTTTACACAAACTATCCAAAGGGCTGTTGCCCAATTTAGAACAAGAACGGCTATAGAGAGGTCCAGAGCTTGGATAGAAATAGATAGAGGAATATCCAGCTTTGGTTATCCTATTGTGTAGAGCAAACTGGTTTTGAATAAGAGGGGGAATTTTTGGGAATCAAAATTTTTGGTGTTGAAAATCAATAAAAAGTTATGTTTCCCATACCAATCAAGCTTTGCCCTCGATAGCAGGTGAAGTCAAGTAGATTCCGTAATGAACAGCATAGCAAATAGGCACGTTGGCGATTTGCCAATGGTAGAGCATCCAAAGAGCTGGAAAATTCAGAATTTTAAGATAACATATAAAGTTTCACTTTTCCACAGTTCAGGAATTTTCGTGCATTTTTTTCGCGCGCTGCTTTTGCGCAGAACACAAACAAGCATTGGCAAATCCGACACGACACATGTCACAAAAAAAATCCACGGATCAGTTCCGGATCATACTTACCTACGTAGATAACATAAAACAAGTTCGTCCGAGGCCGATAGTGAAAGACTCAAAAATTCCTCGTTTTCAAACACTGGCGGTAGTTTCGTAAACACTTCCTAAAAAAGGTTTGAAAAATTCGAATTTTCAAGATGAATTGAGAAAAATGTGAACTTTCTTTAAGTACTGAAAGAATAATGTTCGGATGTGATTGAACCACATCACGCGTTGTAAACTGGCAGTGTTGGATTTTTGACACGAGATCGGTGACTTCTGAAAAAGAATTATGGTAATAGTACAAGGCTAAATGAATACATGGTGCAGTGGCTAAGAGGGGAAACCACAAGCAAGGGCATCAAAGTTCAATCCCTGGCTGGGTTTCTATTCGGGATTTCAAGTTGGTAGCGCTTGTATAACAGAGTGAGATATTTATATTTACACCCATCGCTTATTTGAGTACCCATATTATCTATTTTCATAATTACATAATATTTGTTAATTATACCCATTTACTGAAGTCCCTAAGTACACAAACTGTAACAGACAACTTGGCAAGATTGCATGAGTAATGAAATTCTTGGTTCTTCTGCAAATTTTTTATCTTGTTAGTCAGAGAGGCAATTTGATGAAAGTGAATGACAACAACTTTTGTTTCTTCATGACTAATGTGAGCTATCAATATAATGTTCCGTAGCCCAAGTTAATGACTCAACTCAGTGTTTGCAAGATTATTGAATTGGCAGATAAGTGAAAATTAAGTTACATTATTTGAAACAAAAAGTATTTTGAAAAGGCTATAAGCGCAAGTCAGAACAGATAGTTTGCTTAAAAAACAACGAACTACGATAGTATATGTGCAAAATGCCTCAGAGTATAACAGAAGATAAAATGTGAAAATATAGCTCTATACAAGCAATTTCCCCCATCTTTTGATGTGATTCTAAGGAAAACTATCTCAGACAACTGATCGGAACTTCCGCAGAACGTTTGGGGAAGTTCCGCCTGGTCACCTGCGGAAGTTTCGTGAGCGTGCTGCGGAAGTTCCCAAATGAGGTGCTGCGGAAGTTCCGAATGCGAACCACAACAGCAAAAGAGAACACCGAAGCGAGATAACCTTACTCTATTGACTGTGAGACTCACCTGCTATCCTCTGCACCTCGACTGACATGTTCGATAATGCACTCTAAGTGTTGCCGAGGCAACATCATATTAGACAACACATTCAGAACCTTGCGGAAGTACTGGCTTATCGAAGTGCTGCGGAACCGCTGGCATGTTTCGGAAGTTCCGCAGCGTTCCGTATAAAGCCCTACGAAAGTTCCCGTTTTCATCCAGTCTAACGTGAAAAGCCTGCGGAGGTTCCCATTTTCAACGTTACCACTTTTGCAATTGTAAACAAAACCCTGCGAAACCGCTGCAAATTTTACTTGCCCTGCGGAAGTTCCGGTGATTTGTCTGAGATGTTACAAACTGTAATTTAGCAGTCTAATGTTCCATTAAAATAATCCGGGAATGATGGCTATTTGTTTTTTTTTTCATGTCAAGGCTGATATCTGAAACATCGCAAGGTACAAGTGCATAAATACATGAAGGTGTAACTATTGCTTCCATCAATTAAATGTGGACCATACTCATTTATGTGGGGGGAACTCAGGAAGCAGAGTTTGTCATTTTCCAATTATCTTCATCTTTTGATTTCATAAAAATATGTTTTTATCTATTACAAGAAAACTGCTTCTGTTCTCGCTCAGTATACTTTTATGGAATACGCCACACCACAACAAAATGAATTGAAACTTGTAAATAATACTTTGTAGAAAATACAAGCTTACATTCCCCTCTACTTTCACATTGATTGCATATCTTCCTTGTAAAATTGTTCCGCTCCAACAAAATCTATGTTAATTTCTTCCTCCCTTAACTTTCAAAGTACAATGATAAGAGTTCTAGTTTTGAAATGGTTGTTTTCTTTTGATAAACTGTGAAACCGTAGCGGAAAACGGTGCGCTTTTGCAAAAACTTTAAAATTATGGCGACTGACGATTAAACTTTCTTACATAGTCCTTGAAGAAAACTCTGAAAAGGTAGCGTTTCGGCAAGACAATGTAATCTTTGATTCAACTGACTTGGCGGTTGAAAGGCGGGGCTTCGTAACCTAATTAAAGCTAGATAATGATCAGAGAGCACGCGCGCGACAGAGACCCAGACTGTGTCGCGGGCGCGAGACGCCTTATTTAGGTCACGAAGCTCCGCCCTCCAGCCGCCAAGCCAATTGAATCAAAGGTTAGTGCTGCTTAGAAAAGATTTTTATAGCTGAAATACATCAACATTTTTTACAGTCTCAACTACCCCGCTTTTCACATGTAAAATAAGAATAATTCTAAAGATACACATAGAAACAACTCGTCATAATGGATGCGATCATTTTACAGCTTTGAAGGCATTTTGCTAATTATGGTATCAGTAAAATCTATCCAAATAGATCACCGTTTTAATGGCATATGTGTATGTTTCGAGGAAAAAATTCATAAAAATTGCCAAATAATCTTTAAAACGGAAATGTACAAGCTTGTACTTTTCCCTATAATGATTCCTATTAGAAAAGGCATTACTGACTCTTCTTGCAAAACTGATAAATCTTTAAGAAAAAGTTATCAAACGCTCTGTGCAAACTTTTTTATTTTATTTACATCATCAGAACAAAACATAAGCCCATCAAGAATGCAAGAAAAATGATCCGTACTTTGACATTTCTCACGCGACTCAGGAAAATTTTTGCATCTTACATAGTGGCGATGAGTTTTTCTTACAGCGATAGTGGCGATGAATTTTTCTTACAGCGATCATTACAGAGATCAATATTACCTAGAAGATGTCACTTAAAAAATCATAAGTGTTTATCAGGGTCTTTATAAATACCCCGAAATCAATAATTCTTTTTACAAATCAAATTTTTCATCAAAATCCGAACCATGGGCAGCTTTTACAGATTTTTCAAAAGAATTTATATTGAGTTGAAAATGAATTTAATTGAATTGAAAAATTACGTTGTTTCAAACTGAAAGCTTTCTCTTGATCGATAAATTGGTTTGATTTCCTTAGTCAAGGGACTAAGAAAAAACTATCGCCCCTGCGATTTGAAAATTTTCGCAGTTCATTTGAATGTTAATTGCGAACGGATCCAGAGTTTTTTTTCTGATGAAGAAAATTCAAGTGTGCTAGATTTACTTGACCATTTAGCTTCAGAGAAGGAAGCTAATTTCCAGAAAATTAGAGAAGACAAACATAGGTAAAAATGTTCCGCTGGAAACTCTCAATTCTTTAGAGCTTGTCTGAAAAGGAGGCTTTAATAGCTACCAGAAGAAGGTTACAAGCTCATTAAAATCTAGATTTATCAATTCCTACACCTCAGCGATCAGAAGAGATTGCTGGAAAATTTTGGAGCCTCCACTATTTCAACAAAAAAATGATTTGGGAGGTTCAAGAAAGAAAAATCTTATGGGTCCTTCCCTGCAATATTTACTAAATTTCTGTTTTCATTCAGAACCCCTGGCAATGAGATAGACCATCTAATGGAAACATGAAACGTTCCAAGAAAAAGCATAATGGCTGAAAGCATTACAAGTATAAGAACAGGCTGGAAACTTGTAGAAAAGGAGAACTACTCATAAAAAGTTTAAAGCTGTCCTCATGAGTAGAAGCGTTTTTTATATGTGAAAGGTACTTTGTGAAGCATTTGTGAAGTGTTTATAGAAACAATGAACCAGCTTTTTCCTAAAAAAAAACTGTGAAAAAAAAAGAATGTAAAGTATAGTGTCAGTCGATTTATAGGAGGTTCCAAATGTTTCTGGCCTCAAGTATTATACTCATTTGCCAATTTTAACTCGATTTTTGCTTTATGTCGCTAAACCCAGAATACCACTGAATAATCAACAAAAAAATCTTAGCAACAAGATGCTCTAAAAATTTGGATGTAACCGATCAGTTTTTCTAGAAATCGGAAAAGTGCGTTATTTGATTTGCTCTACTTTTTCCAACACCGAAAAACGGAAACAACTTTCCGTTTTTTATCCTAAAAGTCCTAAGTCTACACTTTTTTCGAATAAAAAATTCCCCAGTGCCTTGCGAGCAAAGACGTTTCGTGTCGCTTTTCTGTGACATATGTCTTTTCCTTTGTAACAAGAATTTCTGGGAAAAATGCGTGGAAAGCTATACTGACTGTCTTTCAACCTAATCAAAAATCAAAAAAGCATAAACTCGCCTGATTTTTACTAAAATAATGGGTTCCAGGTTTGATGAGCACAGTAATACAAAAATCGAGCCAAAAATTTGGATTGAAAATACTTTTGGCAAGGTACTTTTTAGCACCTTGTATAGCCTCTGTTTTTTTTTTGAGATCTATTTCTTATGAAAATTTCCAGATGAAAATTTGAACGTGTATTTCGAGTTTCACATGATAATCCAAAAGACAAGATTTTGAAAAATTACCCTCACTAGGTAGGTTCAAATTAAAAATAGAAAACTTCATAATGTATAGCTTATTAATCTCAAACGTCTGTTTACAAAAAATCACGTTGGCCAAAAATTTCAAAAAGGGATATAAGTTTTAAATTTCTTATGTTTACTGAAACAATGTAAGAGGGTCAATCTAGAAAATACTTTGAACCCCGTAACATAGACTTTTTTCAGTAGCCCCCCCCCTCAACCCACTCCTCTCTCCTCCAACCCCCGCCCTCCCACTCCCCCCCCCCCCCTTTAAGGAGTTTACTAACCGCAGTAGAACTTCCCCGGCAAAAGACTCACTCTGTTTACCATTCAAACCCAATCCGCTTCCCCTGATACACAAGAAAAACATTCGATCGGGGCCTCTTATCGACGCAACAGGCAACAATAAGCCCCATAAAAGATATTATTTACCCACGAAAATGCAGTCCAAGGGCCCAGGTTATTGTGTTTTGAAAAAAAAAAGAACTTGCGCATCTATATTGAGAAATCCTCCCAAATGGTCGTAAATACGGACTTACCTGATGATTTAGCGTAACGTAAACCGAATCGAACAGCCGTGACAGCACGTTGTAGATCACATAACGATGCGAGGAAATACTGTAATCACTAGAGTTTTTGTGCATTTTTTCGTATTTTCAGGGTTTTTTACGTTTCTCAGCAGCCGCTAGTGCTTTACGGTTTGCTAAGCGAGCATGGAATTTGCAATAAAAACTGCTGACTCAACAATTTTTTATATGATCGCTTGCCATTGTTCAATTACCCACTTTTTCAACGTAAAATGCAAAGTTTGTGCAGTTGCAGACTCGAGTACAACTGTGGAAGAAATAGAGCTGTGCAATTAACGACAAACGAAATCGTTAACAATTTCCGTAACAAGGAAATCATACATGAAACAGTGCAAAGCATAGTGCAAGAGTTTCTGCAACACAAAAAAACCCTACGCTCTTCCTACCTATATGCGCAGCATGCGCGATGCGGCAGGCAAATGTTCGTGTCCACGTAAAGAACCTGTGTCAAATTTTTTTCAATAACCACAAAAGTTTGCAATATTCCTCCAAAAAAACCGAAAACCAAAAGAAATTTTTCTAAAAGCGTAAAAACGACTTTAATTGGAGAAAACGTGGGTGTATTGCGAGAAAAATATAAAGAAGCCAGAAAGCCAGTTTTCAACAAAAATTTGCATGGTCCGAAGCGCATGATTTTCTCTTCAGCGAGAAAGGAGCAAGAGGCTCTTCTCTATAAACGTAATTTCATTGTTGTAGTATGCAAGAATTCACGTGACCCACATGTAATGCATGCGTAACGTACGCGGTGCGGTAGGCAAATGTTCGTGTCCAAATAAAGGCAATACGCTAATTTTTTGCGAAGATATTAAAGTATGCAGGGATTTTTGTAAAGCAAACCCAAGTCAAAGTAAAAATTTTAAAGCCGAGAACTTTATTAGCTGAAGAAAAATTCTGGGTGGCTTGCAAAAAAAAACAGCAAAGCCAAGGAAAATTCTAGAAAAATGCATGGCTAAAAACAATTTTTTCTTGAGCATGAGGAGCAAGAAAAAATTTTTTATTTATGAAATTATGTTTTATTTTTCTCTACGACGCACTTTTTGTTCTACCCCTGAAATTCATTGTGAAACTTCCAGAAAGATCCAGCAAGCTAAAGCTATAACATCTACAAGCATCATTGAGCAGCTCGGAAACAATAAGCAACTTAAGGACGAGTTTGTCTGCCTGTACGAAATGTCCATAGCCAAAATCCAAAGAGCAATCATAGAAATCATAGTCATAAAGACACAAACGAGATTCTCCCATTTCAGCAAAAATTTTATTCTCTTTGGAAAACTCTTTCTTTCGCCCGTTCCCATTGATAAAATAATGAGCACTTTCGACTGCAGATGTGTTTTTCGTCGTTTTCTGCGATAAAATTTATCGTCAAGCAACCTTCATTTTCGCCAAACATTCACACGCTTTATTAGGCAATTTAGATCTCATAAAATTCGCGTCGTCGGAACAGTGAAGCCATAGACAGACTTTCACAAAAGAGAAATGATATTTCCTGTGAACTTTCCCTAGCACATACACATACACACACATGAGATGTTCTTGCACTTCATGTGAGACGAACAATGGGAATTTTTACGAAGTAAAAATTGAGAGTAATAGCAGACTCCGGGGATTAACCTTAGACGGCAATTACAGTGCACTACTGCGGTAAATTGGAAGTTGTAAAATTCACGAGAGGACGAAAACCGTAAAAGAAGCAAGGAAAGGTTTTTGGTACTAAAGACGTGAGATGTTTGGAAATGGTCTCGCAATAGCAATTGAAATTTTCTTCAGGTAAGGAAGTAAAGGAAAGTTTTCAGTTGATAAGATTATATGTGACAGGTGTTAGGGTTCAAAAATACCAACAATAACACCTTGAATTCTAGCCACACAAAAAAGTGAAATAAGATCAATGCCTGGAAAATTATTACAGTGTATTTTTTTATTATTTGATGCAAGAATCAAGAGTGATTTATTTAGGGCTGAGATCAAGCTAAAAATATACATTTTCGTTGATAATGCCTGTTATATGAGCGAACAGCAGAAAAAACTCTTGAAATTTTCTAACGTGGTCAACTCTTATATCAATCAAAGTCATATTTACTGAAAAAAAAGATTAAAAAAAAGATTGCTCTAATCTGTTTCGTTATCAATGATGTTTTTATCATTCAGTTTAACTCACGTGATGCCAGACCAAAGATTTTGTTCTGAGCTGAGAGAGCCACTTAACGGCAATGAACAAATTGCTGCATAAAACAATATTAAATAATAAGATAAATTATTTTTTGCAATTAATTTTTTTTCAATGGTTGATTTATTTTGTTTACTTCAGATATTGTCAACTAATAAAGTGCGGAAATAAATGGAAAATGATCATGAATGTAATACACTCAGGTTTGCAAAGGTGCTACCAGCATTACTTCTGAACTTAAAAGATGAGTATAGTACTACTATCATTCTTTCCAAAACCAAAAAAAGATGTTATTACCATAAATTTTTTTTTGAAAGTCAAGTGTTTTTTAGGCAGCTCCTACTGTAAATCTTATAAGAAAGCTGTAGCTGAAGCTAGCGAACTTTGGTTAGCAAACATACATTAGGAATTCTTCAAGCTATTTGCACAAAAACTTTGGGAAAAGTTGTAAGATTTTTTAAAAGCAAAAGGACACGTACTACATATTTCTTTCGAATGTATCATGCAAAATATTTCATAATTGTATATGTAACTTTCGATTCAACTGACTTTGCGGCTGGAAGGCGGGGCTTTGTTACCTACTTAAGGCTGCACGCGCCCGCGACGCAAACTGTGTTTCTTCCGCGCGCGTGCTATCTAATTATTAGTAGCCTTAATTAGGTCACGAAGCCCCGCCTTCCAGCCGCCACGCCCTTGAATCAAGGGGTATACTATAAAATTCGGAAAAGACAAAAACATAGCTTCTCAGAATATTTGATCGGCGCGACTTCTAGACAGAGAATAGATATAATAGATATAGAGCTATTTAGCTATTTGAGCAAATACCTGACTTATACTTGCAAGAAAAACGAAGAATGTACATTTTTACAGCGAAGTATTAAGGCACACGACTTAGTACGAAGGTGCGATAATATTATATTTGTACAAAACATCGAATGTGTACAAACTGAGGTATGTGACGGTAAACTGAAACGATACATTTGAGAGCGAGTAAAAAGGGTAAGAGCCTCTTGTACCCTAGAATGCTCTAGAAATGTTGTTAGAGAACCTTTTCTGAACAGAAGAGAATAGAGAAGAGGTGGAATACCTTTGAAGAAAATTTACGCACCCTCAAAAGGTGCTAGAGTTCACTATAGGGGGTGAACCATTATTGCGAAGGTAAATTTGGTAATTTGATTAGAGTAAAGTAAATGGGGGGGGGGGCAGAGAATAGCTGAAACTTCAAAGTAATGGAAAAAAGTATAAGAGCAAAATGAAAAAGAGATTTGATGGCGATAAAATGCGCATAATGTCGTTGCTCTTTTCTCACTTCATACTTCCGGCAAAAATACAGTTTTTCAAGTTTTTGATTTTTTATTCTAAAATATACAAACCTCTAAAGTAGTCTGAAATGAGTATTCATCATTATTAGAGTCATTACTGGTAGGCAAAGGTTTCTTCTCGACCCGAGCAGTGGTTGGCGTGCCAGCATCGACGAGCACATAATTACCCTAAAGTAGGCAATTAACTTACCCAGAGTTCAATATGGTAGATGGACTACCACTCTCCCTCTCGCCCCCCCCCCCCCCCACAAAATAAAAAAATCTTACCTTAGGCCTCATGGGGGCATTGACGACGGGGTGAGTGCGACCATGATGGGCTGCTGAAACACGCCGTCGGCCCGCCCCTGCTCAGGTGCAGCGCGCCACGGGTCGCACCCCCGCACTCAGAAGGAGCGGGGGAGGGGGGGGGGGGGGAGGGGACAAAAAAACGCTTAACACCAGCCGCAGAGCAGGAAGTCAAACCTACTCCTGTTCTGGAGTGATTGCTCATGGATTATGCACTTGCCTGGCATTTCGGCAAGCTTCAGCTCCCCCCCCCCCCCCTTGCTAAGTACTGCTACGGTAATATTTCAGCCATCGTTTCTCTGTACTTTGAATCATGTAGAATTAGAGCAGTGTTTTGACTCAAACCGGATTTGAATGCTAATCGTGCCTTTAATGCCGAGTTTTTGCAAGTGGACGAGTTGTGTCTGAGATAACCGTGATACATAAATCACATTTAATGTAACGATTGTAAAAGCTTTAGCGATAAAACATCTGGTTTTGTTCATTGAACAGACGTCTTAATGTTGCACTACATAAAATAGCAGAATTACTTGAATTATTTCACACATAAAAATGACTAAAATGGATCGGGTTCCATAAAGCTTCTGAAGGCGAAGTTGTCCATGTCATTCTGGCCGAGTGGTCTAAGGCGCTGCGTTCAGGTCGCAGTCCTCTTCGGAGGGCGCAGGTTCGAATCCTGCGGATGACAGACACTTTTGCTCCTGCACATTTTTTGCTATTGATAGCCTGATTACAAGATTTTGATTCAAGATACAAATTGGTGCATTACATAAGGCTTAGATTAAGTTTTCCGTTTTATCTCTCAAATAATCAGAAAAATTAATTTTCAAAAATTTTGACTCAATGTATAACTGCAAGAGGTTGCTTTCTTATCTTAATCTTTTTAATGGAAGAGATGAAACGTGCACATTCTTGATGTGTTTCTTTTCTGCCTGCAATAATAAGTGCTTTGATAACATTTATCTAACCAAAACTATTACTTTTCTTATCTAAATCCGCTAAGAAGCTTTCCTTAGCTGCCTTCGCAAAATTATAGAGAGGGAATCAGACCATTGCGTCGCAGAAATTTATTAGAGGAAAAAAATTTTATTTTCGAGATTTTTCACTTCCAAATTGCCTAAAGTTGTACCTTTTCGATATATACTTCTTACACGTAAAAAAATAAATCTGCCTTTCTAAAAATGACAGAATTCCAAGTAGCGTTTTGATTAGCTTAGGATTCCAAATTGTTTTCGATTTAGCATTGCTGCTCTCGAAAATCCATGAAATATCGTTAAAAAAACGAAAGAATTTTCACAATATTAAGAAAAGGCTATAGCGTCGCTGCATATTTGAATTTATATTCGTTGTAACTTATGGAATGTGAAAATGGCGACTGACTCTTCCCCCCCCCCCATATATGATACAATCCAGATATGAGCGATTCCGTAAAAATTTCTGGACTTTTTTGGAGAACGAAGAAAGTATAGCGAGTCTCATATCACGAATTTCATACTTTTTGTAAAATTCTGAAAAAATCATCAAATTGAATTGATGCTCGATCAACACTGCCTTTCCTAGTAGGAGACTCGATCAACGATGTGAAAAGCCAAATTTCTTCACATGATAGCATGCCAAATTATGCGGAATTCAGATCACAATGAATAAGAAGGCTATGGAATACAAATGCACCTTAACACGCTCGTTTCCATTGATTCTACAATGTGAAAGCATGCTGCTTTCCATACTTTTACGTGAAAAAGATACAATTTTTCACCTTCAGCCATTACCGAAAAGGACAACCTGTCATACTTTAAAGACTCTAGTAATTTTCAATTTAGGGGCAAGGAAGGAGAAACAGCACGCACTGGCAATAGTTCTCCACAAAACCAAATAGGTTAAATTTAGTTCAACCCATTTTCCACTTTCAAATTTATTTTACATGAGAAGCAATGGCATTTCGGAGGATAACTAATGAACATCTGATTTAGTGAGCTCCATAGGTCCATGCCAAAAAAGGAGCAATTCTTGCAGATTCAGAGCTTCATTAATCGCCTAAGCAAATCATTTCTACGAAGCACATAATTAACAAAAAAAAAACGGAGAATGAAAGGAGACAAAGTTGTTGTGTGCGGCTCTTTCGTAGAAGTTGCAAAGAAAAGAAAAAAATTCGGGTCAGCCATCTTTAGATGCCTCCAAAAAATTTTGTGGGATGGTTTCAAAACCTTTGGCGACTATAACTCCAAAAATTTGAATGAAGCTAACGTGGCAGCACTCACACCAGTCCTCCTGAAAATTCAGAAATTCAATCTGATATAAGGATGAACTGCGGGAAAAGCTGTAAACCTTTTGCTAAAACCGTTGAAAGTGCTTGTTTTGGACTGAGTTTCACAACAATTCTTCGAAACTTACGTTAAATCACCCCTTCATAACAGCAGTGGTTTTAATGTAAATTATTTGTATACCACCTTAACAAACTGAAAGAATGCTGCTTTATAAACCCTACTTCCAAACCAGTTTGTTTCAAAACTCATCGTGGAAGTATCCAGGCTTATTTTATTTTTGAATAGCTACCACATTGCGGTCACAGAGTGAACATTCCTACCGTAATCCTACCATAACAAAAAATTATTGCTGGTTTATTTATGCTAGATATTCAGTTGAAAATCAAAAGTCGTTCTTCAATTCACAACTATGCGGCGAAAGGTCCGCTTTGAAAGGAAGCAGTGACGATCCGAAAATAATTTTCCGGGTATGGCAAAGAGGACGACGAATGTTTTCCAATGAGTAGGCGTGGAAGTAGCCGCGAGCTTCGCAAACAATTTTTGGGATGTTTTTCAAAGACTTCGTGGTCCAAAACTTGAAGAAAAGGGGACGCGACAAAAATTTTACCAATTCCATTTGTAGACGAGTAAAAACAAGTCCTTTCCAATTTTTATGACTCATGTAGTCCCCTAAAAAACTTCGCCACCCACTCTAAAGGGAGAGGGGGTTACCAATGATCTAATTAAGCAGCTCATCTTGGTGCGCATAAGGAACGCTGAATAGCCTTGCTACAGCCACCTGATAGACATCAATCATTTTAATCGTCCCGAAGCAGATGTCCGTAATGGCGTCCATTGCGGAAAATTTCGAAACTCTTTTCGGAAAAAGAGTTGCTCACATGTTTTCATTCACAACGCTGCAAGTGTTTACAAATCCCGATTCAACAGCTATAATCGTCACTGAAACGAATAGAAGCTAAACCGGCTTGGGCTCGCTCTATGATGCTTAGGCTAGCATTCTGGACAATGCCTGAAAAACTGGGAAATGAGCGCATCAGAGGAGCAATTCTGAGCGAAGCACAGCAATTACTCGGAACTTAGGTCGCAATTACACTAGAGAATAAAAAATGATAAATTTGACGCCAGGGACCCGGCGTCTTCGATACGCTTTTTAGGCATGAGCCGAATGCACTCTACTTTATAGTAGAATGTTCTTGTGAACCTTTACAGTGAGATTTATCAACCAGTCAAAGTCAGTGCTTTTATCCTCCCAGATTACTCTGGTACAAACCGCCCGTCCCCGGAGGATATAGGGCTTCCTTGGCCCAGGGGCAAGATCAAACTTGGTCCAACCTGGTCATACAGGTGCCTCACACACTGCTTCACTCGCTTTTTTGAAACTGATCCAAAAGATTTGGATTCAACTATTCATTTAACTGATTTTACTGTTAAACTTCACAGAAACCCAAGAATACGTCTATGATTGATATTTTAACAAAAACTTCCCGAAGCCACAATCTTTATGAGAAGCAATCAGCGACACATCACATTCATCAACTCAAAATGTACTACAGTACAGGTAAACTGCAAATTATACCAGATGGATGACAAGCAAACACAGACAGCAAACAGTTCGAGAGGTCACACGGTGATTGGTATAATCTACACGGGGTCAAGCCAGGATACTGTATAGCCAGAAAAGACACAGTAAATGAAGGCGGTCTAGCTTAGAAACCATGCACTTTGCAGTTTTCCTCCTTCACGATACCAACCTAAAAAGCTTTCGTAAAAGAAAAATACAAAAAGTTCGAAAGAAAAATAATAAAAAATACAAAAATTGTTTTTATGATTACAACTCACATTCACAAGGAAGTCTTTGATTTGTTGTCGCTGATCTCCACTCAACTGCATTACCTCCCCATACTCTGGGTGTTCTACGATCGTTCCATTACAACTGTACTTCTGCAAAAAATCAGAAAATGCGCTACCACATTTCAGAGATTTTCTATATCTTGCGGAACATGATATGACCTTGGAAGAATGGATCAAATGGATATGAGGTAGCAAGCAGGGGCCCAACTTGTTCTGAAGGGTGTGGTTTCACTCTCACTCCTCTAAACATGACAAAACCGCATGTATTCCGCCGAAGTCATTGATTTCGATGAGAATTTCAATATGTAGCAAAGGGTAGGGACCGCCGTCGAGTCCAATCCCCATATTTATCCTTTTCAACTTGAGCAATTTTGTTAAATAGATCCACAAATTCCTAAGTAGCAAAAAGGAACTACCAAATATGAGCATATGGATCACACCCCAACAGAAAGCAAATGGATGTGCGTCTCTGTCCTTCCTGCAACCTTCCACATACCAGTACGGAATATTTTCTTGAGAAAAAAGTCTATGTTGCGCGGATATATGCCACAAATACACCCCTCTTACATGTATAAGAAGTACGTGTTTATTGCCAGTATCCGAGTAGAGCCTACTCTTCAGCGATAGTCCTACTCCATAGATAAACATGCGCTTTATGCTGAATTTACCCCTACTGCCTTACCTTCATTCGCACTACTATAAAGGCCACCCACATCGTTACCTTAACCGAGAGTAAACCAGTTTCCTCTCAAATTTTTACCAAACTTCCTTGAAATGTTACTAATCCAAGCACTATTGATCACTTTCTTCGACTACACATTTATTGTTGGTCCCACTAAATATCATTACTACAAAAAAAAACACAAATGAACAATAAAAGGAGATTACAAGTTTGATATACGCAGTAATGGAAGTAATCGATGCAACGAGATGGATAAAAATGGATAAAAATGAGTAGAGTAGGTGAGTTATTACGTCGACTTATCTAAGTCTTGCACAGCACAACAATATGGCGGTCCTGACGATCCGAAATTGGAATATCTGCGTGGAAAATCCTATCGCATACCGTGTAGTGGAAACGGCGGAACCAATCGGCCAACTGTAGGTAGGTCTTCTCGAACATCAAGATGTAATTATGCCAGCGTACTTCGTTCCAGTGTCTGTCCACCCAATTTCGTGGGTTCTTGTGGAATTTTTCCGCCTCATCGGCCGTCATTTCTTTATTCGGTACGGATGTGTCCAAAGACGGGGAACAATCCAGCATGCGAATTTTATCGACACCATCGTGGAAGTAGCTGTGTCCCGGGATTGTGTAGCATGGCATCAGCGCTGCCACCGATGCGTTTCCTCCTTTCTTGGCAGCTAGTGAGAGCACTGAGTCAGCGGCATGATAGGGTCCAACTTGATGACGAAGTCCGCTATAAAGAGCTATGGCAGCATTCACACCCAGCATGGTGTAGAGCAAGACACGACGCCATGGAGACGCCTTCCTAGCAGCGAAGAACGGACCGGCATAGATGCAAAGCAGGGGGATGACTGGCAGGAGGAATCTCTGCTCCTTGTGAGGCAGAAGTGTGTGGGCAAGCACGTAAACAGCGGAAGCCAATAGGGGCAGTAAAGTGGGGCGAAGCGGGCTGAGCAAACCCAGAACGATAGGCAGGATTTGAACGGTAAGAACAGATGGTAAGCCTTCGATGAAGTACCAATACCAAGGATGAACGCCAAAATGTGCGCTACCGCCTTTGAGAACATTAAAATTGAGGAAATTCCACAGAGTACTTGTAGGACGAAGATAATACAGGGAGTCAATCAGAGTAGAAATAGCAAGAACAGGTAAAGCTGCAGGTAACACAGTTTTAAAAATCAGATCAATAGGCTTAGGGTGTCTAAGGAGATGAGAGAGGCCAAAAACAGCCCAAAGGAGTGCTGCAGTGGGGCGCATGACAATCGTGAGCATAGCAATCGTGATGTAGGGCCAAACTCGAGTAGTCACGCGCCAAGGCCCGAATGGGTACCAGTACAATGCAATCAAGGTCAGTGCTGTCTCAATTGAGTTCGACAGGGTACGCGGGGCGCAATAAAAGACAAACCATGAAGCAAGGTAGGTAAGGGTAGAATAGAAAGCCTCATCTGTAGTGGCTAAAAGGCGACGACACAGCACATAAAAGGAAAAATCACCAAGTGAGAACAAAAAGGCATGAAAGATACGTGGTAAATGGGCGATAACGGGTTGGGAATCTAACCCCAAAAATTTTACAATTTTGTACAAGACAGCTATGACAGCAGGATGGAGTGGAGAGCGTAGAGCCTGTTGCCACTCCCATGAGAGATGTCCCGTGCCAAAGACAGCGCGATGAGCGACTTCGGTAGACTGGTAGACCTCATCGGGCACGAACCAACTTCGGATGAGGTACACACCAAGAAGGCGGAAAGCGAACAGCAGCAACCAGAGCTGATAGGCCTTCATCGTGTGCTCACTGAAACAGACCAACGATGAGGGCTTGAGTTCGATGCAAGGGGCAGTCCTCACCCTTACATCGTGGTCTGTTCGAGAGAGCACTCCAAACAGAAGTGAACCAGGACGAAAGGTTAGGACCGACCCTGCTTGCAAGATGCAAAAAACTTTTCTTATCAGACACATTTAGAGGCAGCGATCGGGCAAATTTAGGAGCACTTCAGTACCAGAAGATTAATGAAGCGAGCACCCAAAAACACTGCCCCCTTGCAACTGCAAAATATTGCTTCCGAAGCGAGAAAATCACTTCAAGTCTGAACACAGATGCCCCTCAATTCAGTCACACTCCTGCTTACCGAAGCAAAATCGTGCTGGGACGCCGCTGCGACGAGGGCAATCTATGTACAGACTTCTGAAGCGATTTACTCGCTCCACAAGCAATATTTTGCAGTCCCGAGCTATGGCTTACATGGGAAGCCGCTATGGTAATTGTTGGTACTGAGGTGCTCCCAATTCTGTCCACACACTGCCTGCAACGGAAAGAAGCAATAACTGCGCAACACTGCCAGTAATCTAACAGAACGCTTCCCTACACTCTAGCCCCTAATTTCCCCAGAAGTGATACATACAGATGCGATAATCAACTGATATCGGTCCTCTTTCTCATCTCACACTTCCTCGGCTACAGCTTATATTAGCTCGCAGAGAGAACGTCGAGTTATGGCATTAACCCGCCTCATTCGAAACCACTCCACTGTTACGAAATACCACAATCTTTCGCCATTTTTTTTCGTCTCTGTCATTTACGAAAGCATATGCTTTATTTGTATTAGTTAGATTAGACAAGAAAGACTTCAGTCGAAATTTTTGGAATACAGGTGCTTGAAACTAACCTTCTTCAAGAATCGAACGATTCTCTTCAGGTCGTATTCAGTGCCTACACCTTGTACGGTGGTGATAGTCTTACGACCAGTACGTTGCTGGATTCGAATGTGGCAAAATCCTTGACGAGCACCGTGCTCGTCTTCTAGTTGCTCAAATGCGTCTGAAATTCAAGAATAAGATACTCGCAGTAGAAAAAAGAAGTGAAATGCAACCTACCTTTCGGCTTATTCAAATTAGTGATATTAGCCATAAACAGTAAATCAGCACCTGTGGATAAACCTGGAACTCACATTTTGTAAAAATATACTTGACGACTAGCGCAGTGAGCGTTTCGAAATGGGAATGGCGACTGAACCAGGGACAACACAGTCATTTGCATAAGAATGGATGCAGAAAACAATGGACTATAAATTACGACAACGTCTTCTGGACTATACGAGAAGAGTGCGAATGAGAAAGGATGAACCGCGCGGCCGACCAACCACGCCAGCTTTGAAACTAGGGACGCTCTCAAAATCGATAAGTTGCATCATGTGACGACATTGCAGACGACACTAAAAGGCGAGCTAGATATTCAGCGCTGAAATGTCGTCTCATCATAAGCTATCTATCGAACTAAAGTGAATCGAAGTCGCTATTCCGATAACAAAAGTGTCATTTAGTTTTAGCTGACGGCTTATAGTCCCGAATTCGCGGTTTACTGAAGCCTGCTCACGTTCTTCGAATGGAAAACACAAGAAACGAGATTTAAGTCTCCCTTTATTTTTAAAATTGTGCAGGAAATTTCAGAAGGTGAGCCAGTCTCTTCAGCTAGATTTCCACAAAAAATCATAGCCTTTTCAAGTAGATTAGTGAAGTGACCAAAGCCATTATCTCCAATCCTTAGTCGTATTTTCTTATATTCTACTAATCTAACTTATCTACTTTGCTCGTCTACAGCACAAAACTACGCATTCACCATAACTGTGGGGTTCTAGGAACCTTTCAGCATGCTAGTGCTAATTTTATATAAAGGACCGACGCATCGCCGAGAATGGGGTCTTGGACGGAGGGCTATGCGGAGGTGGGGGGCTACAGTACTCCCTAAACAATTTTCACGCTTTTATAATTGAGGTCCTAAAGAATTGTCAGCTGTGATCTAGTTGAAACGGAAAAGCGCGTTTCTGGAATTGCTGAATTAGAGCTTTTTTTTCTGCTAAAAATGGCTCTTCTGTTTCAAGTGTGTTCAATCAATTTAGGGATGAATATGCTCAATGTCTTTTGGAGAAAGATGGGATTAGAATTTTCTGTGAACTTCAGCTTACCCAATTTGTTTTGGTATCAAAATCGGCTCACTATCTGGTAATCATAAGCAGTAGTCGTGGGAGGTCATTTCCGTTTGATTGTCTTCGTTTAATCTTCACGCTTTTCCTCAAATTGAGTCTCTTGAATGCTGATGAAATTAACAAGCATTTGCAGTAACGTATCAAGTGTAGCTTACGTTGATGTTGCTTACAATCATTGTTTTCGCTCATTTACAATCATTGTTTTCGCTCATTTACTATCTTATCTCCTAAGTGATTGTAGACTTGGCAAATCCAGAATGAGTCGAGTTCGTACCAAGACCGTCAAGAAGGCCTCGCGAGTCATCATCGAGAAGTACTACACGAAGATCACTCATGATTTCCACACCAACAAGCGTATCTGTGACGAGGTTGCCATAATCGGAAGCAAGCAATTGAGGAATAAGATCGCTGGGTAGGTATTTGCTGTTATTAGCTATTTTTATTATGTTTTGCTTTCATTTTATTCATTTCATAGAGTCACCGTTTGCGCTACATTTTTGTTGCCACTTTTCTTCGTTTTAGACCTTAGGTTAGGGGGAAGATCAGTCGTAGCTTTTTGCACTTTGTTTCGAAAGCAGTAACCATTTATTAGCTGTTTCGACACCTTGGCATGCTTTGTTTTCTTAGAGGGATGGTGCGCTATGTAGAGCAACTTTTGTTGGAAGAGGTTGTGTCACTGGCTCGCGGAAGAACCGAAGGTTTCCGCTGGTTGAATCAAAAGATCTGGCATTTTCGAAAAAAATGACCAAAATCGGAATGAAGGCCAGAAAAAAGCCATTCCCGCCTTTATCATATTTGCTTGGAAGAGAAGTCTTTTTAGTATGAACGCTTTTAACTTTTATAATCTTTTTATTATGAACGCTTCTAACTTCTATAAATCTTTCAGTAGTGGGGTCCCACATATTCCTGCGGGTTTCTCACTTTTTTAACCATGGCTTAAAACCAAAACTGGAGTTGTGCTGTACCGTTCCTGTCTTCGCACAGATACTGGCTCCTTTACGGTCCATAAATTCCTTTAAATAAAAATCGAACCATGCCAATGCCTACAGATAGCAAGTAAAACCACGACTTTGGGCTCATACTTAGTGCGCCGCAAGAAGTATATGGAAATTATCCTTTTTTTCTACCGTTGCAGTCATCTCTTTCAGATACATCACCCACTTGATGAAGCGAATTGAGAAAGGCCCCGTTCGCGGTATCTCCATCAAGCTTCAAGAGGAAGAGCGTGAGAGGAGGGATAACTACATGCCCGAAATCTCCGCTGTTGATGCCTCCGTGCTCGGACAAGTCAAAGTTGACCCCGTCACCAAGCAAATGTTGGAATCCATGGTAAAGCTTCTTGTTATTTGCGTTTATGCCATAACAGGATTACTTATCTGATATTGCGTTACACCTTTTGTCGAGTTCTACCGGCCTTATTTTCTTTCTCTCGAAATCGAGTATTGAATTACTGAAATTGAATGGCAGACATGGTTTGACTTTTTTAGGTTCAGAGTGAACTGCGTATCCAATATAACGCAGTGAGCCACTGGGTTTGAATTTCAGCATTCTAGGGAATCCCGCTTACTAGTTTATCTTAGGTAGTGGAAATGTACCGCGGCTCAAGCTGTGTAATACAAAACCGTTTTGTTTTCCAGCTACCCTAATTTCACGAGTACAGAGCACACCTGTTTTCTTTTCTCCTAAATTTGACCAGCCTAAAGAGACCAAAACATTTTGCCACCAAGGACTTAATAAGGGCTGCGTATTGCATGAGAGTATTGTGCAGCATAAGTGTTGTTCTCCGAAACCCAGCGAGGCGGCTGAGAGGCTCGCTTAAATGAAAAAAGTCACGTTATGTACTCGTGAAATAGGGGTGTTTTTTTGCCGTGCAGCTTGATGTAGAGCATTTGTCCTTCATTCTTGCTAAATAGCGCAATAAGGGAAGCTCAAAATTATATAAAGTGTTTGGTAATGCAATATTCTAGCAATTTTCCGGTTATCCTATAACTGATGTTTGAATAAGCATCGCGTGTTGATTTATGCTTTTCAAAATAGTAACTATCGATGCCTTCCCGCGCGCAGCTTAGCAAACCGGATGGCTAGGACAGATCCGGACTCGAATAGTTTGGGCGGGTATGTAATCAGATACAGGCTTTTAAAGTTTGCTCACCAGTGTAGTTGCAGTTCTTTTCTTGCGGCTATAGTGCATTCTATGAAAATAGCCGGTTATAGTTCACATAGTTCTTTATGCATCTGAAACATAATTCTTTCTGGAATCACAGCGAAAGTGTTTTTTGTTTTGTTTTGTTGTTGAGTATGAAGTGTGCTTTGCATGGCCTTGCAAATCTTATATAGCGCACAGCATTTTCCTTGCCTGGTAAGATATTGCATCGATGTTATCGTTTCTTTTGTCCATCGGCTTTGCGTAGCCACGGTTATGGACTATTTATAGCCTACATCAAGGAAACAGCTTTGTTTTCATGTGCTTTATTGTCGTGCCGAAAATACGGCATCTGTTCGGCTCATGCGTAGCCCTGAGTATGCATTTCGGAAAATTTCGCTATAAAACATAGTAGTGCATAGTAAGCTAAGACAGTCGCCTCCCCCCTCCCCCTTGAAAATGGTCTGCAAAATTTTTGAAAGTGGTAGAAATGATCCCCAAGGTTTTTCAAAATCTAATTAACAAATTTTTTTCCGGAGGCTAGCCATCGCCACGCCTTTTATTGAAAATCTTGGCATTATGAGCGCAACATCTTGAAAATCACCAATCACCAAATCAAAATCAAAATCAAAATTTTTGGGGCTGTTCAAGCCATGCCTCTTCATTTTGAATGAAAAGTTTCTTTCCCCCCCCCCCCTCTCCTCCTCGAAAGAGTTTTCTTAAACCCCTGCTGGTAAAACCTAGTTTCTTCCGAAGCACAATTGTTTCCCCATGTTTTTTCACACTGAGAAAAAAGAAAGATCACAAAAAGCAAAACATGGGTAGAACAAAATATCTTTTTTTTCACATGACGCGGTTGATTTGCATCGTATATTGCAAACATAAGTCTTTCATATTTATCTTGTAAAGTGCCTCTGTCGATTAGATACTCATTTCATAGACCTTGCGCCATTTTCGTAAATCTTACTATTTCTTGAAAATCTTCCTTTTACTGTGAAAGTGGCCATTGAGTTATGCGAAACAACTGCTCAAACAAAAACGTTGGGGCTTTTTTGACTGCACATGTGGTTTACTGTCAGCTGCATGAAATCGGCTTCAAAGTCAGAAATCTCAAAAAGCATCTCGGTGCAATGCTTTTTGGAAATTGTGAATTTGAAATTTCGATTCATATATAGAAATTATTCATGATTTTTTTTTTTGATGGAGACAGTTTTTTGCTGATTGTGAATATACGACTGATCTGTGCAAAAAAGTGCAAAGGACCTATCCAATTTTTGCAAAGTGTAAATTCAACGGATGTGAGTTGAAAATTTTTTTGACAAGTTTTTGTCGCAGTGTGAAAAGCAATGATGCACTTGTGATTGAAAAGCTCTGCCTCTGCTTTACAACGACCTGTGAACGAAGAGATCTGCTAGTTTTGTGGTTTGCTTTGAACCGTGCAGCTGCTCAGGTTTTTGGCAATATCGCATGTGATGGACTGCCAGCATTAAAGAGTTAAGTTTTCCACTTTAAGCGTCTCCTGAACTTGCGTTAATTTTCTCTAGCGGAGTTCAAAAAACTTGGTCAACTTTGTAAGTTTTTTTTGCTGCGTTGTTTTGTGGACGTTCAGCAGTGTGAATATAATAAGTGTAAGACTTTGATCGTTAGAAGTGGAAGGTCCTATATTCTCCTTCAATGGTTTTTCATTTTTAGCGAAAAATGAGCAAAATTATGTTTTTTCTAAACATCTTTGGCGCTTTTCTTTTTTGTTATGATTGATTTTGGCTTTTGAAAGTCATTTTCGGTTCATTATGCGACATCATTGAGGTATGGGTGTTTTCTCGTTATTCTGAATGTTTTCTTTGTTTGTGATTGGGATTCTTTCTCAAGGCTAATACGTGGTGCACTAGTTCTGCAGTTGTATCCTGTGTGATTTTGTTTTCGGAAATCCACAAAAAAGCTGCTTTGAGTTTTTTTTTATTGAAAAAGATGTTGTCTTGTTCGCATCGCTGTCAGTTTTGCTATAAAATGTCGAAGCGTCCGCGCCGTATCCTAAACTAAAGAGCAGAAATTGTACAAGTGGTGAAAGTCAGTGGATAGCTTTTTTGCTTTATAATGTGTAATTCTTATGGGAAAGACTAGCTCAGCCAGAATATCGTGTTCGAGTAGACCTGTAAAAGATTCATGTGCGTAAGGAATAATTGGTTCGACAGTAGTTGCTTTTATCTAGTGAAAAGGATCAAAATTGTTCAAAAATAATTTTACTCAAAATCCAATGATGCAAACATTCTATATGTTTATAATTAATGTAATCTTTGTGTCGCTTGGACACTGGATTTGAAGAGAATGAAAGATTGAAGAGAAGATTTGAGTTACGTTATCAAGCCAACCAAAAACATTTTCCATTAGGTTTTGTTGGTTCTAGTAGTCCCACTTAAGCTTTTATAGGTAGATTTAGGCTCATATGGACAACCGATGCAACTAGAATTCAAATTTGCTAAAATCTGTTTTTTTTTTCATACACAAGGATTTCTTCATCTGCTTTCGACATTCTGAGTTTTCTTTACTTTTCGACCCCACATCTTTACTTGAATTCATTGAAGGTTTGGCATTCACAGAGAAAAGAAAATGTTTGTGTTTCTAAGTTCTGAAACACTATGACGTAAACTCTGCCATTCTGAGGGCGGTTTGATGAGAAAAGACCAACCATTTATTCTCACACCTTCATCATCTGTCTAGAATTCTCGAAGCTAAGCCAGCTAAAATCCAGTCAGTCGCTGTTTTTCCATTGAAAGTGATGTATTTAGCACTGTTTGAGTGAAAGCATGTGTGATTCCAGCTGTTTTGAAAATGTACTCTGCTTATGCAAAACCTTTTTTCTGAGAAAATGTTTCTCATTTCAGGACTTCAACCTTCCCAACGTCGTCGTTGACGAGCAGAAAAACATGAAGAAATACTAGAAGTTATGACACTATGGCGGTTGTCGTTGTTATTTATGTTCATCATCATAATGGCCGAATTATCGTTTATGATTGTTACGCACGCGTGTCCGTGATTACGGACTACACCCGCACACGCGCGTGTGACAGTTGTTGTTTCTCCGTGTCCGTTAAGATGTGAATAAATGGATGAACAAAATGATTGTGATATGTGTGTGTGCTTGTCACTCGGGTTCGTCATCGGGACGGGGGATGAAGGGGGGGGGAAGGGTCGTGTGTGTATGTGAAATGTGAGTGAGTGAGTGTGTAGTTCCTGGGCTGAGTGAGAGTGTGAGTAGTGCTAGCTACCCCCCCCCCCCTTGCTCCCCCCCCCCCCCGAGGCGTAAGAGAGAGCAGAAGCGCGCCAGCAGCCGGCCTGTGGCAGCATATTCGCGGCCGTGTTTTATGGCGGATGGCGGTGCTGCCACTGTCTCTGCCGTTGATCGTTTCGGCGATCACATTTGATCTGATATTCCATGACCTAAAAGGAACACCCCTCGTACTACTCGCCCCCACAAGGAACATCACCTTTACCGTAACCGGCAATAGCCTACTAGCCGATACCGTAACCCTAGCGCCTGTGGAAGTCGGCTCCACCTTGTCCGTGTCGGTAAAGTGCCTTTCCGAAACATCAGTGCATATTTCGACAGCTGGACGAAATTCGTTGCTCTATTCACCATCGATATGCTCTGCTGCCAATGGTCAGTTCTTCTATGAATGGGGTAGTCTGTGTGTGCTTACGGACTTTTTGTTTGTGTATGTGTACATAGTCATGTTCCCGTATAGGCAACATTGCGCGATAATCCCATGTTTGGGACGATAAGCTTGAAAATAAACAAAATATGCTATGGTATAGGGAGTCGTGCATAGATGCTGGACCTTCAAAATTTTCTTGGAATGCCCTAAAGATGGAAAAAATATAAATTCAGTCACGAGTTCGTATGGAAATTGGAGTCAAGTAGAATTGTTGGCTTATTGTGAGGTCAATCGATTTTAGACATTTCTACTTTCTAACAGGCTGTAGGACTCAAAAGATCTTGACAAATTGTCGATTTCTAAATAGTTTATTGATCTATCCCAACACCCCGCAAATCACTTTTTTCTGGTATGTATGTTACACACAAAAATATTTGTTAATTTTTCCTACCTCCATGTTATGAAGTCGCAAAAACTGCACTTCTCAAATTTCTCTGAAATATTTTGTTTGCGACGCTCTTTACATTCATCGATTTTTCTCAAAATTTAGTTGTATCAATAAATTTCACTTTTTTCGCTTTCTTGATGCTGGAGCACATATCTTACGGAAAATTTTTGTAGTCAAGGGCAGTAAATTCATGGTGGTGATTGCTTGCGAAAGCCGAGGAGCTAGAAAAAAGTTTTAGAAGTTTCTTCAACTTTTGGCTCGTAAAGCCGGCATGTTCCCTTGCGGAGAGGCAGGGAAGAATGGGGGTAATTCAACTGGGATGGGGAAAGAAAGGAGAGGGGAAGTTGTTCATTTTTATCGTTGTAGATATCGGAACTTGTTTAAGAATATTCTGAGAAAAGAAGAGAGAATTAGTGAACGCCAAATTTTAGTTTTTCTTCATCTTCATATGCCAGAACGAGTAAGTTCCTGCAAAATAAAAATTCAAATATTTCAATGCAGCAAAAATTTTTTGCAAATTTTAGAGTTTTCTACTACAGGTTCTCAAGAAAATAATTTTCTGGTCAAGAATTTTTGTCGAAGTCCAGTTATTGTTATCCAGTTTGGTTGGCAAAAGTTTCAAATTGCAATGTAGAAGTAGTAAAACGAGTTTCACACCAATTTTAGAACCCCCCCCTTTCCTCCCCCTCGCGCTTTTTCACATTTATATAGCGTCCAATTGAAGCCTCGTAAAATTTACGCCATGTTTCTTATTTTGTTTTTGTACTTGTAATTTCTGACTCGTCGCCAAAAAACAAAAATTATCATGTCAAAAAACTTGGAAAACCGAAAAATTCTGTTATTGAAATGATTTGCTCATTTGAGGGGGGTGGGGAACTAATCCCAAGAGTTTGCTGTAAATAGTTCTAGTCTATCAGCGAGAGTGACATATAGCCTCCTCTCGAGGCCAAGTCAGTTTTCTTTTGGTTAGTTATTCAATTTCTTAATTTTTACTACTATCCGCTCGAGCGCCATTTACTTACACATTACCCATTCCACTCGCGAGCCATTAAATCTTTCAAAAATCTTGAATCAGAGCCAATTGTCCTTGAATTGTACTTGTGCATATGGAAACGATAAAAGAAAGTTCAATAAAGGCGGCACACATATTTTCAGGAGTGTTGGTGGATGAGGCCACTTTGCACGGCAATTGTGTAAGCAACTTATATCAAGGATCGAATTTATTACTGACAAAGCTTTGCGGGTAAGTTCTTTTCGGCCACGCTCGGCTGTAAAGATTAATGTGATGTTGTTGTTCTTCGCGTTCCTTCCTCTACCGCCTCGGACAATGTGTGCATGATACCATCTGTTTTACTTTACAACTTGATGATTTTCTTCGCACTTTTATGCTTTTGGGGACTTTCACTTTGGGGCGACGTCCGGGCACTTCTCTTTGTCTGGGTTCCATTGTAGAATATTGACTGGAGAAACCTTATCTAGGTATCATTCAAGCGAGGGCTCATAAAATTCACTCGTGGCCGAAATTTTCTATCCTGAACTCTCGTCCAGTACCGTAGACTTTCCGAGTGCAACAGATTTGAGTACTGTACTGGGCGAGAATCTAGATTTGATTTGATTTGCAGTCTGAAGATGGATGGTTTGAACTCCGGTCTAAGGCCTTTGTTCCGGCACGTCTGAGAGATGAGTGGATCCTGACTAATATTCTTTACCTAAGTCATTGCTAAAGCGGCAATTCGTAAGATTTAATTGTGGCCGAGAAAATCAGCTCTAAACCCTCGCCTAATACCGCACGCCTTCATAGCACCAACGGTATTGAACGTGAGTTTGAACTTGATCTTTTTCGACCACAAATGAATTTTATAAGCCGTCTCCTGCGCAATGGCTTAGTTAATTTCTCCAAAAAGTGCACTACAAAACCAAGAACTCAGATGGGGAAGAAAAAAGAAGAGAAATCTGAAATTATGCCCAGCACCGTAATTTTTGCGAGTACAACTTATCTGGGAACGGTACTGGGCGAAAGTTTGAATTGACTGTCTCATCGGTATAATTAGTGAAATTACAATTGTTACTGCGTCCCGTTCCGAATCTCGACAGCCTTTTTGCACACATATCATCCCAACTGTCTTGCCGATGCCTGATAAGGTCAAGAAATCACAGAAAGTGCTGGGAAGTACTAACAAGGAAGAAACGAGTCTCAGTGATCAACGAAAATTATAAACTGTATTTGAAGTCCAAGAACTTGTATTGTTATTAAAAAACCAGTTCTTGAACTCAGGCCCAATACCGTAGTTCTCCCTAGTGCAGGTATCTTGTACGGTACTGGGCGAAAGTTTTGACGGATTTTTCAGAAGCAAATGAATTTTGTAACTTACCTTTTGCGCAAGTTAGTTAATCCATTAGATAAAACTTTAAGAGTTCAAGATGTTTCTCAAGTAAAGTAAACTCTAAATTCATGCCCAGTACAGTAATTTTTCGGATGCAGCTTCATGATTACTACTGGACGAGAATTTCTAGTGAATCTCTTCGGCATTAAATTTTATAAGCTGCTGCTTGGGTAATGGCTTAGTTAACCCACCTCCAAGTGCTTGCTTTAGAAGTCCAGTTACTCTAATTTTTCCACCGCTTTTCAAAAATGCTTTTGATCGAAGAGGTTCGAGGTATTTCCGGTCACGTTCGGCTCATTTGTTCATCGTAAATCAATTATTGTTTATGCGCTGACCGCCGCACCTCATCTCTCGTTCGCAAAGGTGTAACATCGAGTCGACCTCTTAACACCAGCTCACTTGTCACGATGTAAGAGACCAGCCATCTGCCCTATAAACTAATAGGGGGGGGGGGCTAAAGCTTGTGAAACTTTTGGTGCAGGTTCAGTTATCGTAGTTTTCTCAGTGTGGGGCTATCAAAAGGACCACTAAATGATGGTGATTTATGCGGGCACATTATGGAAGCGAGCGATATATATCCTAAGACTGAAGTTTTCGTAATGAGTTATTCTCGTGGAATGAGAAGAAGAAAAACGAAATGCATGCGCATTTCAGAAAAAGCGAAATTCAACTGAATTATATATGGACAGAAACGAGCGCTAATAAATCTTCTGCGAAAATCTGTGGGAAACTCATGCAAATCCGTTCGTATCTCGAAATGGGGGGCCGATGTAAAGTAGAAGAGTTTTAAAAATACCTATCCTCCGCATTACATCATTTTTTTACATTCTTTTGCACGCTTTTCCTGCTATTTCCATTTTGCTTTTGCAAGTGTGCTGGACTTTTACTCGACATGTCAATCACTCGCATTTTCCGAGCATTTGTCGCGTGCCAAGCAGAAGTTTCGAGAGACCCCCGTTTTTCAGCGCTTCTTCAGCACCCATGGAAGCAGAGCCCAGTTGCTAGCTCTATATTAAATTTCACACTTGAATATATGAAAATGAAGAATGTGAGGTGAAAAATTTGATTGGATTTTCTCAAGCGCATTTTGGAACGATATATCGCTGTATATTTAGTGCTTATAGTTAAGTCATGGATAACTAAAAGACAGTTTCCAAAAAGATTTTGACACGAGGTTTTTTATGAGGTAAATAATCTGGAGGATCTAGCTGAGCCATCATCTAAACGGCGGCTCGTATGATTCATTGATGCTTAAGAAATTTGGATGTAAAGTTTTGTCCAGTACCGTATCCCTCTACCGTACACGCGTGCTCTGATTAGCTCGGCTTTTGAAAAATATGATCTGGGCAAGAGCCTAGAATATATCTGCGGACTTGAATGAATCAGTTACATACATAATCAGTTGAGATTCTTTGCTTTTTCACAAGAAGAATACATATCCAGTACATCTAAGAATGCCACACGTAATGTCTGAAATTGCACAACGTACGCGGTAATACACGACTCCTTGCTTAAGAATTTGTAACACTCATTAATGCTTATATCGTTCAAAAGTGGCCAATTACCAAGCTTGCACCTACACATGTTCGAAGAAAGGGGAAAAATAACTTTCTAGAAACAATAAGTATATAGCAGGCGTTGCGGCGTAAAATGACGCGCATGGTGTGCAATAAACACTTCGTTTTACGTGCAATTTGTATGTACTACTTTTATATAAAAGATTTCCTAGCTTTCAGTTGCGTGAAAAATATCTGTGTATTTTTTCCTTTTTTTGTGAAATTTGAGCGCGCCCCTCATAGTTTCTTAACCACACGGTGCTGAATGTGCAATTACACAAATCTGGAATTTGTTCGAAATTTTGTAAAATCTAAGCGTCTTTGGGCTTCATTTTGTCTTGTCTAGATAAAGTTTGTTATTGCTAGCTTTCGATGTGATTTGAAATTTTGTCCTATATATATAGTGTAACTGCACAAGAAACACCTTGTTTGACGGGAAGTACGGAAAGTAGTAAAATTCGCAAAGATGTAGGAATTCTAAAAAATCTTTTTCTCGTTTTGTTGGAAACCCACTGGGGAACAGTGATTGCCGGAGATTCACTGCTGAATCTACGAATATCCGATAAATGTTTTTTATTTTCTTTAGGTCCATTATCATGTCTAAAGTATAATGCTAGCAATTGCAGCTCATTCGCTAATTTTGTAATCCAAAAATTTTTTACCAAAGGTTTAGAAGAAGAATTGTAAGAATTTATCGCTTGTCTTGCACCTCATTTTGCCTATTTGCCCTCTATGTTCGCCAAACACTCGGCACAAGAAAATTTTCGCGGGGAATTTATCATGCTCATTTATCTTGAGTATCTCTATGCGTTCCCATTCCACTTCATTACACTCTCCTTCTCTTTCTCAACCAAAAAAAAATTTGCCTGCAAACTCATTTCACTTGAACGGGTGCAAACCTCAGGGTAGTGAAGAAGTAAGCTAATAATCTTCCTTTTAGAATTGAGAAGCTTGCATAAAGCCTTGATTTCTTACAGAATTTCGTAGTCGTTATAAAACTGAAACTTCTTGCCCAGACTCTCTTTGAACCTTTTTTTCTTGAATTATGATGGCAATTGGTCTATAGTGAGCTTTCTGGTGTGGTAATGAGCTATTATATTTTTTACTATGTGTGTGAAGCGTTGATGAGGCGAGGGTGGTGGGAAAACTAGTGCTATTGGTGTTTAGGCGAGGGGGGGGGGTCGGAAGAGTCATGTAAAGGAACTGGTGACAAAAATTGCAAGTAGTTCTCTTCTACTTATGCGTTCCTCTTCTGTCCCAACACCTTTTTCTCAGAAAATTTCATGAAAAACATAGTTGTAGTGATAATGATGATGACACTAGATAAAAATTGTTTAAAAATGTTAGTCAATAATCAAGTAATAACAATAACAATAAGCACATTAATAATAATAATAATAATGGGCTGTGTCGCTGTGAGTTTGAAGAAAACATAAGACGTTTTCCAAGATTTTCGGGGCCTATACTCCTTGGGCGGTATTCACCCGTCCGGGTAATTTACCCGAACAGGTAGTTTTCGTTTCATAGCTCGGTGCTCTGGGGATCTGTGGCTTTGCTTGAGTATGGAAATAAAGAAAATATGAAGATGTGAGCGACAAGCAAAGACACAGATTCCCAAAGCACCGAACTATGAAGCGGAAATTACCTGTTCGGGTAACTTACCCGGACGGGCGATTGCTACATACCGCTCCTGAGATCTCAAGGAACTAACTGGCAGTAGCCACACCTTTTGAAAATTTTTTATAGCCTAATCTGAACTTCGAGATATTCCAAAGATTATTCTGATGATTGTTTACAAGTAGAAGTAAGTTATTTGGAATTCATATAAGCCACGTTCAAGATTTCTGCGACTCATTTTCTTCCATACCCTGCCAAAATAATAATTAACATTCAATATTCTAATATTCCTTCTGCGCCATTATGGAAATAATTTTAGAAAAGTTCTTTTTAGAAAAATAATCGAAAAAAAAAGACTACCCGTTTCTCCTTGATTTGCTCTTTCCAGTGGTACCATACGTTCATACATAAACTAAGTTGTAACATTTCCATTAACCGCTAAAAACGATCGAACTTATTTTTTACCAAGTACTTCTTAGTTAATCCAACTCTGGGTAAAATCCCATCCACTTGGAGCGAGATTTGCACATATGGGAAATTCGTCATAACAACTTGTTCAGTGACAAATCACTGCAGTTTCTGTGCAGATGTCGAAGCGGCATCTTCTCATTTCTTTAGCTTTTTCTCATGTTTTCCCATAGCGATTTGTCATAGTGTTAGTGTCTGCGCGCAATATGTGCCGGCACGCGCCGCCTTCGGCGCAAGCGGGCGACATCGGGTTGATCGAGCACCCTCGCATAAATGATCCATCTTTAGTTTAAGCGACACGAGCAACAGGTTTTGCTGCTCTTCGCTTTCGGTGTTAAACACATTACGGACATCCGAATGGATGGGCTGTGTTGTGAGATTCTTGGGAACGGAGGAGGGGGGGGGGAGGGGAGGGAAAAAGGTACAAGGGCCACGAGAAAGTTTTGATAACAAAGTCTCTTTTGACTAAAAAAGAGCATGCTCTAGAGGGGGTAGGGGAACAAAGGCCGCCAGTTTGCGATGCCTTTCGCGGCCAACTGGTCCTTTTGCAGTGTTGCTGCATGTCGTTCCAAGACCAGTAGACCTCGGAGACGGACCGAACTGGTGGCTTTTGTTCCCCTACCCCTCTAGAGGTGCTCATAGAGAGAAAACTGAAATAGGAGAAAGGACCAGGCAGACAGATCAAAAGATTACTGAACATACAACACAAAGAATAATAATTCCTTAATGTGTTTGCTTTGTAGGCATATTGCCTTGGGCGCGCACTACTGCGCGCTTGGGCCACCGTCTGAAATTCCAGGGGCTGTGAAAGAGGAGGAGTGTTGAGACTCAGGAGCTATACTCACGACTCAAGTTGTGACATGTTTTTTAGATAAATATCAAATGGGGCCGTCCAATTAGGTCGAGTGAAGTTTTCGGGAAATTTGCAGGCATACCTTTTGCAGCATGGCTATACTAGCAAACTTGGCAAAGATTTACAGGAACTGCATTGGCACAAAATTCTATTCATTTGTAGTAAATTCTATTTTAAGACACATTACTTTGAGAAATTATTTTTGGAGGTATAGTTCGAGACACCGTCCTTTTATTGAATATTTAGAATCACTACTTATAGTCCTCTAAGGTTTGTAAGAGTAGCTTGACTAGTTCGCAAATGGTTCGTCTTTCCCCTTTTTAAACACCATCTATTTCTCCGCTATGCAATGTCTTCATTGGTTTACGATGACCGGAATGCTTGTGTTACTATTTATTTTATATCCAGCCATCAGCTGGTAACGGTTTTTATGTTTTGAAATTCAATTTGAGGGATGGTCAACTTGAAAATAACTATGGGTCTTGGTTTCCCGCTCATGGAAAGAAATCCAGCCTATATTTCTGCAACCGCAGTTGAAGGATACTGATTGAATGTGATGCATTCGACTGTAATTTCAGCTATTCAAAAACGAATAAATGAAAATATTGCTTTTCCCAAACCACGGGTCCCTGTTCCATTTTCTTGTCCCGATCTGTTGTTCTTGTACTTTTCCCTGCAAGTATGTGATGCTCACTGCTCACGGCATCCCAGGGCCAGTAGTAAAAACCGTTTGAATTAAAGATTATGTCGCAAAGCTCTGTTCCTCACTTGTGGCCATCAAGCAGAGAAAGAGAAGGAAACAGCAAGAAAAGCCTGGAATTTGGCAACTTGCATGCGCTGAGTCGTCTAATATCGTGTGCATTGTGCAATACACACTTACACACTCTGAGACCCTTTAATTATATCCGATGAAAATCGCTTCTTTTCAAAAATATAGCCGCTTCTAAAACTGAAGTCAGTTCATCCAATATGGGTTTATTTTTTGACTAGTTTTTGTAAATGAGGGAAAGTGATTCTTATTTAAAATTTGACAATGTATCCCCAAATAAACAGTTACACTGAGTTATTTGCTCATATAAATAAGAAAAATAACAAAGTAAATGCTCCAATCTGCCTTGATCAACTGAGTACCATATACCAAGAACTCTCCGAACTTTTGCGACCATATGGGTGGTCATCGGCTATAATGTCGCTCTCGTTAGTTTATGTAGTGCGCCAGTTTTATGGGGGCAGATTTGGCCCGTGCGTCGGCAAACATTTGACGATTCGGACGCGCATCAGACGCTAAATGCGTTGAATTTGCCACACCTGTAACTCGTTATCGAGTCACACTGGTTGCTTTATGCGTTTATCGGTGATTTCAATGCAGGAGGGCCTAGCGACTCCGAAAAGCTGTAAGAACTTGATGCAAAGAACTGTTATCTAAGAGGGACCGGAGTGACTAGGGCGGAGGGAAGGCGGGGTGTCTGCTCTTAAAATTTACATCTGAAGACTTGTCCATCACAAGACTAAAAGCTGATGAGCTATTTGAGTTGTAGGTGCATCAGAAAGTAGGCAAAAAACTGTATGTTCTGCGTCGACGCGAAATCCCATGTCTACTTTCGAAACCGTATGAAATTCTAAAAATGTTTCCAGTGCTTGATTCTTCAAAAATGCCCACAGACCTTTAAGATCTCTTCGTTAGGTGAGCGTTTAAGACTTTATCAACAACTCAGTCACCATAACTTCCGCAGGACAAGCAATTGCAGCGGTTCCGCAGGATTTGGTTTACTATTACAAAATTGGAAACGTCGAAAATGGGAACTTCCGCGAGATTTTCATGTCAGACTGTTTGAAAACGGAACATCCGCAGGATTTGCTACAAGATGCTTCGAAAATTCCGAAAAATTCCAGCAATCTGGCAGCACTTTGACATGCCGTAATTTCGCACATTTTTGAATGTGTTGTCTCTTACGAAGTTGCCTCGCCAACAACTTTCGCAGCCCTCTTCGGAAGTTCCGCGACCCGGCAGAACTTTCCCAAACATTCTGCGGAAGTTCCGGTCAATTATGTGGCAAGAAGGCAAAAGGTGCTATTATGGTAGCCTTCCAAAATAATGTTCTGGTTTTCCATACCGTACTTTTCAGCGCAGTGGATGTTGTGTTGTCATCATTTATACGTGAATCCAATCTAGTTTTGAAGCGCTTCCGTTGATAATCTGGTTCAAGTTCTACTGAATTTTCTTCTAACATCCATTTGTCATCCAAACAGTACCTTGCAAAATGTTCATTTGGTTCTTCTTGATTTGCATTTTTTGACGTTATCAATCATCGTAACAATTTTTCCTTATGTACCAAATTTGTTTCTAGCCAACTTCCTATTATTTAGTCTGCTCGTTATAGACACCGTTTTGGGGGTGGAGGAACGAACACCTCGATTAAGCACCGCCTCCGCGGACCTCTGGTCTCAACACGATGCACAATAGTAGGACGAAAAGACCAGCAGCCCGCGGAGGCAATGCCCAATTGAACCGTTCGTTCCTCTACCCCCGTTTTGGGGATCAGGAAAAGAAAGAACGTCAAAATATGTTTGACTGTTCATCTTCCTCAAAAAACCAACATTCTCTTGGTCGTTCAAAGGCATGCACTTTGAAAAATGCCTAGCTGAAAAGATGGGCACGAACATAACTTTTGATTCAACGAGATTCGCAGCTGGAGAACGACCGCTCGCACCCGCGACGCAGCTTGCGTCTGTCACGAACGTGCTCTCTGATCATAGCCTAGCCTTGATCAGACCTCGAAGCCTCCAGCCGCCAATTCCGTTGAATCAATGGGTAGGTGGTCAGCAAGAGTCTTGAGCTGCATCTCTTTGAAAGTTTGGAATTGCAGCATGACTTGACAGTCTACTTCCTCTCCGCTATTACTATTATACTTTCTGGAAAACATCCTCAATCTGATTTTTACGTTAAAAACCAATAATCTCAAGCTTTGTTAGAAATTACGTTTCCAGTAGTCATTCAACGAAATCCGATGCACCATCGCGATCCACGGCAGTGTCGACCATCCAGCCTATTTATGTAGCTGAGCCATTGGAGGTTTGTCAAATACTATTTCATCTCTTCCAAGTGATCTAGCAGCTCTGAGGAACGCACATTACTTAATTCGCTTATTTCACTTGATCCTCTTCGTCATTGGTCAACTCAGTGAACTGATCAATAGCGAAGCGGTTATCCACTTTACGCTTGATCCACTGCATCAACTTCACTATTGGTCAGTTCATTGTATTGACCAATGACGAAGCGGTTCAAGCAATTCAAGTAAAGTGGATCAAGCATAGCTCATGCCTAAGTACACATAATATAATGTAAGCCAGGGCTCAGCAGAGCTGGCACCGGGTCAAGCTGGATATCGTTTTTAGGGCGGGAAGCAAAAGGGATATCGTTTCTACGGGGGCCGAGGCGGAGAACTGCCGCAAAAATGCCGCCGGCATGCCACCGGCATGCCATTGGCAAGCTGTCCATCAACAAACAAAGGGTTATTTTCAGCCAAACCCAATAGTATGACACCAAATTTGGTGTGGGCATGCGCGTTGGTGGACCGGAACTATGGGCCAAAAATTTATGAAAACTTATGTGAATGAAAGCTGTGCCGAACTTTTTTCTGAATTAGCTGGCACCGTGCCAGCTGGGTGCCAGCTGAGCTGGCACCGACACTTCGCTCACATAAGTTTTCATACTTTTTTACATAAAATGTATCTACACTGTAAAAGATTACATACGGAGAAGAAACAGTTTCATAATGTTCTCTTTTCAGCGTTTTATAGCAATTTGAAAACCACTCGGTCCGCTCCACAGTCGAAAAATCGGCTTTTTCTGCTTTTCGAGATGTGAATCGACCACTTAAAAAGCTCAGAAAGCTGTGAAAAGTTCTTTCATGAAATCAGAAATGCATGAAAACACTACTACATTTTTTACATGATATAAAAATGATGAGGGTTTTCAAAACAGGTCAAAAGGGACTTCGTACGAAATTTTCAATATCAAACGGGACTTCGTTTTGAAATTTCCCTGGTGCCAGCTCGTGCCGAGCCCTGGTGTAAGCACATTTGAGATGCAGCATTTGCAATTTTTTGTCTACACGGACCCTTTTGCACCCTTAACACCGTTTCCTACCTCAACACTTCTCGTTCTGGAGTGAAGCTCCATTACATTCTGTTTTTATCAAACTTTTCTCATAACAGAACCATTTCTTTGCTCGCAACGTTGCCCCAGTGACGCTCGCAAAGGCTTCCGGTAGGATCCGGTAGTGGTGCAAAACCGCCTATACGCAATTTCACATATGATTGCCAAAAAACCGATGTTGAACGATTTTTTGCAATATTGTTTCAGTTGGTGATTGAGCTATTTGTGTGAAATAAATTACTAACTTTTAGGTAAACGAGGGAGGTTCGATGCCTTTGCAATGGAAGAATATCTATGTTTTGCCAGAACATTCCCGCTTCAACCTTACAAACAAGCAAATCGCATTTTCTGTACGTTTTTCTAGAATTTTCTTCTTCTTATTCACTCAGTCCTACAAGTTTAGTTTTCTGAAAATTAATTTGAGCCTTCAGGTAGTAGAAGGTCCACATCACGGTACGCTGACACTAGATGGCCAGCCATGTTCTGCGTTCGATTATAGTCAGTTGTTAGCTAGAAGTGTAATCTATCGTCACGATGGTAGTGAAACGACGCAGGATCAGCTCGAGTTTCAAGTAAGTTGAGACACCTTTCGGTAAACACTGAAATTCCAAACGAAATCTAGGGTTACCGAAACTTCAGGAAAACCCAACAATAAGAATTGTTGCTGTTTTTGGGTACGCTTTAATGAGTGGCGTAAAGTTTTTTGAAAAATTTTCTTTATTGTCGTATAGTTAAATGGCTTTCCACCACATCAAAAAATCGATATATTGATTTTTGCTAAAGCCCAACTGCTAAATTTAGCTCGACATCAATTCAAAGAAAACCGATTTTCCGTGGTTCGATTCGGCCACATACGTACTACGGATACGTATCAACCCCGTCAATGATCCACCGGAGCTAACCGAGGCCAAAGGAGGCCATGTGATAAAGATTTCAGCAAAAGGAAGGTAAAGAGATTTTTGTTGCATGCGAGAACTGATCCCTGCACTAGGGGACACGTGAAAGGTTCAATGATTCTTGAAAACGCAAGAGTTGCTCTAGGTGAGAGAGGGGAAAGCGCTTACTGTTAGGGACCAGTTCCCGTTCTATTTTGTTTACGCAAAAAGTGGCCCTCAGCTTAGTGGAAGGCGCGTTGCCGACAGGGACCACTTCTCGTTTTCTGTCTTGAGTTGTCTAATTTGAAAGAATTCAGTCGCACTCTCTCACCCGACCAGATCCTTCTGTCTGATCCAGATGATGGCCCAGACAAGGTCAGTCTCATTTTAACCTTAGCTCTATGTAACTGTACTAAAGTTCTAAAGAATATTGATTGATTTGCAGATCCGTGTCCAAGTGGTCGAGGGGCGTGGCGTCCATTTGCGCATTCATAATAGGACAGTGACCGAGTTTACACAAAGACAATTCATCAATAGATTAGTGAGTCCTACAAAAATGATGGCACTTGCGTCGTGCCTTCTATAATTTTCGTTTTTGGGCCTTACCTCCTCCCCCCTCTCTCTCCAAAAAGCGAATTTTATTTGAGGTAACAATCCATGATGAAGGTTTGTTCGAAAAGGGTGTGCTTCGATTGGTTGCTAGAGATAGGGATTCAAGATCACAGGTCGAGCTATTTCTTTTACCGTAATTTTTCTAAATTAATTCAAATTTTTTGAAGGTTTTGACGTTACATACTATCAGCACTCCAGTGGAAGTTCGACTAAAGACGAATACGGGCGTACGACTGCTACATCATTCTTCAGCATTAATCACAGCAAGGTAAGCAAAGTAAATTGTTGGTGGACCTTTTGCACCGCTACAGTAAGCTACCGTAACCGCGAAGTGGGGAATGGAACGCCTTTAGGTAAGCACACGAACGCATTTCCCAAAACAATAGTGGTAGAATGACTATGGAATGCAATAATACTTCCTTACAGCTTTCCCCGAGTTACGGTAGCTACTACCATAGGGCGGTGCAAAAGGGCCACAATAAATGTACGTTTACGAAATCTTGAATAAATTATCCAATCCTTTTAGCAACCTCTCCTTCACTGCCTCGGTACCAGATCTACCTCTGTCCTTTTCCATTGTTGGTCTTCCAGACCATGGTGTTATAGAATGTAGTCCAGAACACGGTCATTTTGCTGTATGCAGCACATTCACACAAGAACAGGTGAGCTTATTTTTTAGATATTATCTTTTTAAATTTATGTTACCCAGGTAAACCGAGGACTGGTTAGATTTCGCCACACTAGCAGTCATCACCCAAAGCAAGATATGTTCAGCTTTCAGGTACGTAAAAATTTGCAAAAAAATCTACAGTAAAAAAATTGCAATCGATTTACTAAAAAAATGTTCTAGGTCGAATCTGGAGACTATGTGTCGATGATACACAATTTTCGCCTAATGTTCATTCCAATGAATGTGAAGGTAGGGTTTTCATTGTCGGGTAAGCTTGAGTGCCCGGACTTGTTAAGCGATTGTGACGGATAGGCTTACTTAAGCTGTTGTTCAAAGCTCATAAGGTTCTTCGTGGATGAGAAGTTCTAAAACACTTTTGCTAAATACCGTACTTCAAGAAGCTGAAGTACGGTAGTGGACAAAAGCCAAGGAATGATAATTTCGGCTACAAACGAACCACGAACTGATGACTGAAACTTTGCTTAAAACCTTCCAATTTTTCTACATGAAAAACCCAGATATACAGATCAGGACTAGAACCTTCATATTCAGCTTTCAGAAGGAATGATTGCCAGAATTCATAACTAATTTTGAAGTTTACTATTTTTGATGAACTTGTACAAGTTTTCGATACTTTGAAACTAGTGGTATTTTTAGGAAAGTTGGAGGAAAATTTCAATAGTTTTGTGCTCGTAAGTATCTTCTTAGGTGTTCAATCGCGAAGCGTTTATGCTCAATGGAACGGAATCTGCCACACTCAGCCGAGCTAACCTCTTCGCTTGGACTTTTCCAAAAAGCTATTCGCCAGAGAAACTTGTATACCATATCGAAGAACCACCCAAATATGGCATACTCTCAAGAAGAATCAATGGAAAAAGTCGAAGGATTGGAGTTTCTTCTAACTTTACGCAATTGGTAATCTGCTTAGTGGTCTCCACATAAATAGGTTGATGGGAAGAAATTTCAGGATATCGACAATCGCCTGATCTCTTTCAAGTTGCACTTCATGCAATATTCCATTATCAACGACTTCTTCCTTTTTCGAGTCATTACTCCTGCAGTTTCGTCTGAGTCACTTAGATTTGAGGTTGGTAAGGAAAGAACGCAGTACTATCTTAGCGTCGCTTATTTGACATGCGGATACGAATACGGATACAGCACTATGATATCAGTCCTATTGCCTCCTTTACTGCGCTACGGTAGTTTCTTGTAGTCAAGTGAGAATGAATTAAAACATCTGAACTCATTTAGCCTACTTTTTTGATGTTACAATTTTGTGGTAGTTCCTTATCCATATCAAAAATATGGCTCATATATGGATATAAAAGCTTCACAGGACTAATTCTACTGCTCAAAACAAGCGTATGGAAATACGCTTTCGACAAGCTCCACCTTCGTGGACATCTAGTACAGATAGTGATTTTAAGAAAAATGCGTGCTTTTGTGCCAGATGACGGCACCTGTGGAGACTTTTGGTGAGATCAAAGTTGTATCTCCCGAAACTAGCATATCAGTGGTGATGCTTTGAACCCGTTTGCATAAGTAAAACGTTGATTATCATGCCTACAGTACACCTACCATAACGACACAAAAGGGCTGGATACACTTTTTGTAGTCAAAATGTAGGCAACCCTTGCATAAATACAGCACTGGCAGTGCCGCTTTTCAAAGCTGCGTTTTAAACGCAATAAAACGCCGGAAGTGCCGCATTGCTATATCTTTCTCCAGGTTACTCCTATAAAGCTCTGGTTAAAATATTTGAAACCAGCACTGTCTGATGCATCCGACAGTATGTTCGAAAATCGAAAAATTCACAATTTTTTTGTGCCCTCCGGTGCAATAAACGCGCTATTGCGTCGTAAGTGCCGCATTCGAATAGCTTCCCACAAAGCTACTCTTTTTAATTCACTTTATTATATTTGGACTCAGCACTGTTTGCTCTATCCGACAATATATTCAAAATCTGGAGAAGTCAATTTTTTCATGTGCCGCAGGGCACAATAAACGCGTTTTTGCGTCGGAAGTGTCGCATTGTTATAACTGCCTTCAAAATTATCGCACAAAGCTCATGTTTACATGATTGTCATCAGTGTCCCTTGAGCTATCCGCCAATCTGTTTAAAAGTTTGAAAATCTCAATTTTTAGTGAATTACACGTCCTAAATCTTTTTGGTCCCTTTTTTAGCACTGATAAGCTGATAACGATCTCCAAAGTAATCGTACACAATTCTGAACAACATATTTGAAACCAGCTCTTTGCAAGCTATCCAATGATGTGTTTAAAAACCTAAAAATCTCAAATTTTTGTTTCCGATTTTATTGGTCCCTCATATCGATATTATTAGCTAGGCTGGCCCCGGCCCCTGGCTGCCGTGACCCATCATTATCGATTTTTGTGATCAGAATAAGTTTGGTAGTAAAATACAGCAGTAGGATTGTTTATTGACTTTTACACTCCTTAAACAGCACATAGTGGAACTTGAATCTTGAAACATGAACTTCAATTTTTGAAATTCGTTAAAATTCAAAAATTACTCGAAATTCTTTTTGGAAAATCGGAGACTGCAAAAATCAATAAGAATCTTGTCATTTCGATGGCCACTATGAAAAGCTGTGAATTCACTTCCAAATACCACTATTAATTTGAATTCAAAATTTTCAGAATCATGACAGAACCCAAACGTATGACTTCAGAATCTGTGATATATATTTTTGAAATTTTCGGGGCATGTAAATATGAGCAGCCAGTAGAATGATTAATTCCGAGATTTTGATTCCGAATCAGCTAATGACTTGATAACATGTACATGACAGCAGACAATGTACCGTCTGCATAGTGCGAAGACATGTAGGCTGTCATGAAATATAAACATTATTTGATCACTCTTCTAGTCAAACATGTTCAAAATATATCTCCATTGGAGCTCGAATGCTAGCTTTGTCAAATTAAAGAGAAGATTTGTTTAAGGTTGAACATGTGTTTTTACTAATTTTGTGCTTTACTCTTGCACAAGTAGCTTTGGTAGAAGGCTATAGCAACTCGACTACCACTGGTCCTTAATAAGTGCGATTATTGAAAGATGTGCATTGGGAATGACCTCACTATATCGGTTTTCACCACTCATTATGTGGCTGCATTGTGAGGCTCTGCGACGTATGGGTGTTGAAAACAAGCTGGTTAAAAGCAACCTCAATTAGGAGTACTGAAAAATCCTAATTTAATCTACATATGATTGAAATATCTGCGATATGGTTATATTCACGATTATTTGATAACACCTATGAATAGCCAGACACATTTTTGATTCTATCTTGGATGGAGTAGATCGCAAAGATATGCAATCTGCTTATCTTCTGATTTTGAGTGATTACCCGCCGAAAAATGAGAAGTTGCCTTAGGCCTTGCAGAGGATCAGCTTAGTCGTGGTGGCTAAATGCGTCTGCTATTTTTTAACGAGATTATTGGAAAAAATTAAAACTGGATGATTAGGGATGTTTTTAAAAGCTGCTTTGAGATTTCGAAGTAAATTATAACAAAGAAATGCTCCGATTATGATTTTGTGTCTGGGATAATTTGATGACCTTTCTGTGCTTTAAAATCTGGCCGATGTGCCTTTCGATGTGTTAGTGTGCCTATGGTGAGGAATCAGGTGTGAGATTGCAATAGCAAAAATCACTATTTCTGATTTTTGCTATTGAAATCTAAACCCAAGTCAAATTTTCGACGAATTTTGTCATATTTTATAGCTAATGTGATTTCAGTACCAAAAAATAATAATTGGATTTTGAGAGCCTAGTCCAGTTCTTGACGAATTTTATCATATTTTCTAGCTATGGGAATTCAACAGCACAAATCATATTTTCTGATTTTTGAGAACATAGCTCATTTCAATAATTTTTGCAACTATTGAAAATCTCTTTTTTTTTCTCCAATTTAATCGACATGTGGAGGCATTCGTTGGACCACGTCGCACCTTTGGACATTGTTGTGTCAGCTCAGCTAAGCACAGGTGCATCAGAGCCAATTCGATTGGAAAAACTAACGTGATTTCAGACTATCCAACCTGTATAATTTCAGAAAATACGAAATTTACATGCAAACATTTCAGATTTACTTTTGAAATTTTAGAAATCATATTTAAGGCTTGTTCAATCATAAAAGGCCAAATTATCAGGTTGAAACCCAAAGAAAAGCAAAATACATATGAATGTTGACTTTCCATTCACAGCTGTGTGGCTCACAATACTCGTAAAAACACCCAAGTTTTATACTGATTTATGAAAAATCATAGCTATAAATTTCAGTGAAATCGATCACGTTCATGTGATTATAGAGGTATCAAAATGTCTAATGATCGAGATTAGTTGCTTATTTTTCGGTAATTTCCAAAATTTGAAATTTCGAAAACCGGGTTCGTGATCATTGCACTGTAGTTTCAGCGTAAAGGCAAAAATGTAAATCTGCCTGATTCATCAAAAAGAGGTGATCCCGATTACGAACGAAAACATGTATTGTACCTCCATTTATTCTATTCACTTGAGTTGGGTGCACCTGCACCCGGCTGACACAGGCATGCCGAAGGTGCGAAGATATCTAATGACAGTCATCCAGACATTGATTGATTTGGAAAAAACTGTGGTATACAGTAGTCGGAAAAAGTTGTTGAGTTATGCTAGGCTTCTCAAAAATCAGAAAATGTGACCTTTGCTATCAAAATCTCACTATAGCTGGAAACATGGTCAGATTCGGCAAGAATCAGAGTTAGGCACTAAAAGTTATTTTTTGCTTGAAGTCTTACAAGATCTGTTATAAATCTTAGCTTAGCTAAAAATATGAGCAATTCATCAACAACAGGAGATTTGGGCCCCAAATAACAAGAATTATGATTTTTGCTATTGTATTCTCACAATAGCCAAGAATATGATCGATTTGAAATTTGAAATTGGAGATCAGAAGACTGACAATCTTTGCCTCAAGGCAAAAATTGAAAACTATCGTGTCTTACTGTTCGGTTTTTCCTGATCGATGAGTGATCTCTAAATTTCAACGAATTTCAAAAATTGAAGTTCATGTTTCAAGACTCAAGTCAAGTTCCACTATGTGCTGTTTAAGGAGTGTAAAAGTCAATATATAATCCTACTGCTGTATTTTACTACCAAACTTATTCTGATCACAAAAATCGATAATGATGGGTCACGGCAGCCAGGGGCCGGGGCCAGCCTAGCTAATAATATCGATATGAGGGACCAATAAAATCGGAAACAAAAATTTGAGATTTTTAGGTTTTTAAACACATCATTGGATAGCTTGCGAAGAGCTGGTTTCAAATATGTTGTTCAGAATTGTGTACGATTACTTTGGAGATCGTTATCAGCTTATCAGTGCTAAAAAAGGGACCAAAAAGATTTAGGACGTGTGATTCACTAAAAATTGAGATTTTCAAACTTTTAAACAGATTGGCGGATAGCTCAAGGGATACTGATGACAACTATGTAAACATGAGCTTTGTGCGATAATTTTGAAGGCAGTTATAACAAGGCGGCGCTTCCGACGCAAAAACGCGTTTATTGTGCCCTGCGGCACATGAAAAAATTGGCTTCTCCAGATTTTGAATATATTGTCGGATAGAGCAAACAGTGCTGAGTCCAAATATAATAAAGTGAATCAAAAAGAGTAGCTTTGTGGGAAGCTATTCGAATGCGGCACTTACGACGCAATAGCGCGTTTATTGCACCGGAGGGCACAAAAAAATTGTGAATTTTTCGATTTTCGAACATACTGTTGGATGCATCAGACAGTGCTGGTTTCAAATATTTTAACCAGAGCTTTATAGGAGTAACCTGAAGAAAGATATAGCAATGCGGCACTTCCGGCGTTTTATTGCGTTTAAAACGCAGCTTTGAAAAGCGGCACTGCCAGTGCTGTAGTAGGCAAATTTGAGAAAATTTTTCGGATTGGGACATTACGGGATCACTACCGAATCGTTCATGCTTTTCGCATAATTACCGTAGTTTTTCCAGATCATCTTCGTTCCCACACAGACATCCATCCAGTTGGTAAATCGCACCGTTGTCGTACAAGAAGGAGAAGCAACTACCGTAGGCAGTTAGAAATTCAATTTGGTATTGAAAAATACATTATATTCCAGATCACCTCCGATTCGCTATCGTTAGCCACTCCGGACGATTCTTTCTTCATTTTTAATCTGGCCTTGGCACCAATCCAAGGAGCTCTGATGCTGAAGACTAATGGAGGCAACAAAACACTTACGGTCGGCATGAACTTCACAACTAAAGATGTGGCCGAAGAGAGGTTTGATATATAAATTTTTGATTTATTGATTTTATATATCTTTTATGTTTTGTTATAATTTTGCAGCCGTTGCTTCGCGTTTGAGCATTTTTCAAAACAGGTACTTAGTACGTATTCGATTTTAGATCTTATTTCGTCAAAAATGTTGTAAATATCTCTACTCAAATCTAAAATACTAGGAGTACAAGAATAAGCTTACATTTACTTCTTTAGAGTAACTACTTTCTTGATTCAATTTTTTAGAAATTCAGGTAGTGCGCACTGTGAGTATGTAGATAATTTTCAAGAACTTTTCTATTGATTTTTCTTGAATATTGTTTTGAAATTTTTGCAATCATTCATAATATAAGCCACACATCCTTTAAATCGCAACTCGTAGAGTATTCGTTATATAACAACTGCAGGATCGAATTTTAAAAATTACGCTATCCAACCTTGGGGTGAGAGCCCTAGGCCTGCCATTGGTATATAACCCTAAGCGCAAAACTTTTCAGACTCATCTACTCGCATTCTGGTTCCGAAAGTCATGCTGATCGTCTCCATCTTATTGCTGAGTCAGCATTTCGCAGAGGAAGGCGGATACCTTTCTGGATGTCATTTTCAATAATTCCTATAAATGATAACAAGCCCCGACTACAAGGAAGTGATGTGATACAGGTGCGTCAAATCATCTTCTAAGGACTTGAATCTGCAAAATTTACTTGCTTAGATTGTGGAAAGGGGCGAGCGAATACTCTACCCAACTTTGCTGAACTGGGTTGACGACGATTCTGATGGTTCACCGCTGCAATTCAACTTTTATCAGCCGATAAAAGTAGGTTTTAAATTTTGCATTTTGCAAGATTTGTCACATTCTATGTGATTTCTTTGTGAACAATTTGCGTTTCAGTTTTTCTTGCAGAAAAGTAACTATGTCATTCTAGAAAAGGAATATGAAAAATTACAGCACTACTGCCATTTTTGTTGAAAAGCGACAAAGTGGGCTTGGGATGTTTCCCTTACATTCATTTTTCCTCCGCTAATAGTACAGCACATAGAAAGTTATATTGGGATTAGGGGGGGGGGAGTGTGTCAAAAATAATTATTTGTGCTTTCTTATATGTATACATCGAACTCCTCCTTATCAGTCAATTCCGCGACGTTTTCTCCCTCAATGTAACGCAGATCGCCAAAATGCGCTCTTTGGTTGTTAGTAAGTGGGCGGGACCAGCTAGTGGGGCGGAGCTAGTCATATCTTCCAAGCGATTTTACTCATTTTATTTTTGCATACAAATCCTTAAAATCTGTGTAATACACTGGTAAGGCAGCTGCTATCCCGCACTAAAGTTTACAATACTTCAAATTTTCCGCGCCCCCACCCTTGAATATTGTCTGTAATCGTTGCAGGACGCAGCCGTGCTTTCCACAGTCTCGCCTTATCATCCAGTGACAGCATTCACAGAAAAAGATCTACAACAAGGACGAATTATGTTAAGACACTTGGGGCACAAGAGAAATTTTACTATCAGGTATGGCTGAAAATCCAAAAAGCAGTCAAAAAGGCCTGAATGATTTTAGCTACACAGTCAGCGATGGCAAGCACACCGTCGAGGGTCTGTTACGGGTCATAGCATCGGACCCTTTCATAAAAATTGGTGAAAGTCTCCTGGAATATTGTTGTCTACCTGGTGATACACCCAATCTTCGTAAGTTACCAATCAAACCCTCTCAACTCCTGCAAAATCACAGTATTTCCAGCTGTGGGACCCTTGAATCTTTCCGTGTTCACCAATTTGGATATAAAATTGGAGGATATCGTGTATCATACAGAATCCAATAATTTTCTTAAACAACAGCATAGATCGAGACGGCCAGTGCGTGATTTCACGCAGAAGGTAACAAGCACTTGATTCTGATGTCTGAGTTATATAATGGAATTATTATAGGACATCAATGATGGGAAGATTTCGTACAATGTTGGTCCCGCAGTTGCTGAACCACTTACAGTGAAAATAGCCAATCAAAGCTTAAGAGCACAGGTATTATTTGCCTTTTTGAATTTCTTCTCGAATCTCATTTGCTACTTTTTTATTCTTTTAACTCAAATTTGCATCTAAATACCGTAACTCTAATCCAAAGCTCCCACCCGCGTAATAACAATCTTCGGGCTCCATCGTATACAATCATTTTTATATTCTCTTATAATATTCAAGATTACTTTGTTTTGTATTACTTGTATTACTAATAATGTTTTTCTGCACACAATCTTAATTATAATTTACCCTTCTTTTCTCTTGATATGACCCTAACACTACCAGTACTAAACACGCCGGGTAATTCTTTGACGCCGGGTAAAAAAATCCGCAATGTTCAATCATTTAAAAATATCGGAATTTGCTTTGAATAGCTCGTTTTTGATATTTGATTATTGGATTCTAAAATGGAGAAATTTTCTATGTTGGCTAATCAACTTTTTCAAAACCGATTTTTTCTGAATTTGGTACAAAAATGTCACGTTAATTATTGTATTTGTTGGTTACCAACCATTTGATCATTTGATTTTGCGTTTTCTTTTTTTTCCCAGCCCCCTAGCTCAAACTTTGCAAAAAAATCGATAAAATCGATAAAAGTAATGGACGATCTTGAAAACTAATATTGTATTCGTAATCTGCATGCTCGATTACCCCCCTGTGCAAACTCCCAGCCCCGCAGGTCAAACTTTACAAAACAAAATCGATAAAATCGATAAAAGTAATGGACGATCCTGAAAACTAATATTGTGTTCGTAATCAGCATGCTCGGTTACCCCCCTGTGCAAAATCCCAGCCTCGCATGTCAAAATTTACAAAAAATCGATAAAATCAATAAAAGTAATCGATAATTCTGAAAACTAATATTGTATTCGGAATCCCCATGCTCACTTCCCCCCTGTGCCAACTCCTAGCCCTGTAGGTGAACTCTGCAAAAAATCGATAAAAATCGGTAAAATCGACATCGATCGATAACGAAAAGTGGACTGTGACGCCCGCCGGGGCCCGAAGTGTATGTGTGCCAAGTTTGGTCCGGATACGGCGGAGCCGGGTAAGCCAGCTAGTATCTTATATATAAAGCTGAATGTCTGTTTGTATGTCTGTATGTATGTCTGTATGTACGTATGTTCCGAATAAAAATTTTTATTTTTGAACCGATCGGGACCAAACTTGGCACACATACACTTCGGGCCCCGGCGTGTGTCATAGACTACTTTTCGTCATCGATCGATATCGATTTTATCGATTTTTTGCAAAATTTGAGCTACGGGGCTGGGAGTTGGCACGGGAGGGTAATCGAGCATGCTGATCACCCCCGTGGGGGTGATCAGCATGCTCGATTACACCCCTCTGCCAAATTCCAGCCCCCTAGCTCAAATTTTGCAAAAAATCGATAAAATCGACATCGATCGATAACGAAAAGTGGACTGTGACACACGCCGGGGCCCGAAGTGTATGTGTGCCAAGTTCGGTCCGGATCGGTCAAGAAAAGGATTTTTCTATTCGGAACATACGGCGGAGCCGGGTAAGCCAGCTAGTTATAAATAATACTCAAAAGACTACATTTCCCGTGTTCAGCTGTGTGAACTAAGGTTTATTCCCATTTCGAACTTGGGTAATTGAACCGACTAAAAGCTCAAATAAGTTAAACAACTCTCTTCTAGCCGACATCACCTCTTTTTCAGGTCCAAATTATTCGCCGTTCGTTGGGAGCATCGTTGGAGCTTCGTCGATCTAACACCGTCTCTGTGCCTGTAGAAGGCGTTATTTCAATAGATTCGAGTCATTTGGAAATCGGCGATTCAGCCACCTCAGCTGACCATCTCATCTATCATGTGATTAGACCACCTCAGGAAGGAACACTAGTCTTGGAAAGAGGTAAATCTAGGAGAATTTATATTCCCTCCCCTTCGATTTTCTACTTTAGAAAAGGGCTCTACCTCACCGCATATGTCAGCGCAGCGATTTACGCAAAGGGACGTGGATTTGGGAAGAGTACAGTATATCCACAGTGCTAGCGGAGCAGGAAGGGATACCGTATACTTCAACATCAGCTCACCTCATATTACCAAAGGGCCTTACACACTGTATTTGGAAATTTACGAGCATCATGTAAGCGTGAAAGTGTTGATATACGGTCGATAATCTGCAGCTTACGAAAAAAAAATTTTCTGGAGGGGGGGGGGAGGTAATATTAACTTTTTACCTAGGCGTGGCTTCTAAAGCCTTAGAAATTTTTTTGATTTATTTCAATTTGTTTTTAAGCTTATAACCTCGCACTTTGAGGTGGAAAGCTTTACGAAGAAATCATTCTACAATTCTAGGTCATTAAAAAATCCAAATTTATTTTGATTATTTACAAATGAAAATAAGCTGTCTAATTTTCAATTGTAGAACCTTTGAAATTTACTTTCTTTTCCCTTCCAGCCCTTTCTTTCGCCACCATGGTGACCAAATTGTGTTCCTACACACCGCGTGCACATTGCGCGTCTAGATCCTCGAGTGCATCAGCACTACACATTTTTTGGAGAATTACCGATTATTTCTCTTGATGATTTTAAAAAGTTTAAAAAACGCAAGCTCGGAAGATTTGCGTCATCACATTGACATACTGGTTCATAAGCACAATGTGCATATTATGTGCAATCGCACACACCCCTCACGAATTGACCCTGAAGTATGTACATGCCTTGGAATTTCTCCTTTAGGTCTCGCTCAACACGTCACCCATTCAAGTGGTAGCTGGAGCCTCTACAGTGATTTCCAATACTGCAATCAACGCAACATCGTCAGATAGAGAGGACTATGTAATAAACGTGGTTGAGAAACCCTATTATGGTTGGATAGTTTTGGACTCGTGGAATCTAAGCAACATCAGTTCTATAGGTATCAGTTAAAACTAAGACTGCGTCTAGAGTTGCTCTCGCCAACACCGTGCTAGCGCCGTGCCGGAACTTCAGCAATCAATACAGGTCGCGTGCACATGTCTACCGGCGCGACGCTAGCACGGCGCTGGCACAGCTCAGGCGCTCTACAACTACATGATATCAAAATCTTTCCAGAAAAATTCAGTGGCTCGGATCTACGCGAACGACGGGTTGTGTATGTCTCCGACCGATACGCGACCGCATCCAGAGACTCATTCTCAGTGACGGCTTGCATATCTGATCACACATGCACACAGCCGCGAATTGTTGATGTGACATTATCGCAGAGGAATGTGCAAAGTAAGTACGAACTGCTGATTCCCCTTCAGCGTAGATTACCTTATAACGACCATTTGGGCCACCGGTGGCCCAAATCAAATTATTTTTGGAAGTGCGCTTTGAAAAAGCCGTACAAATTCTCGTCGTCTAACTCATTATGTAGTTGACAGGATGATATTGTGGTTTGAAGAATAAATAGAGTAAATATTTGGGAGAACATTACAACGCCGCTTTTGATAATTTTAGTCGTAATCTCAGAAATTTTCTCAAATTGAAAAATTATTTCAGGCTATAACTCGCTAGTCATGCTATTTTGTTTACTTAGTTTTTTTTTCACTACAAAACAATGATTATGGAAAAGATACTGATTTTATTTTGCCTCACTATGTAACAAACATAAAAATGTAAAATAATCCAAATTACAGTCATTACGTGCATATAATTTTTTTCCCCGAAAAAATGTTATCTCTAATTATGAACTTTATGATTTGTAACGGAAACAGTAACATAATCCTATAAACCGTTTATGTTTTTATAATAATTTTTATTATTGTGTGTTGATAATAATTTTCAAGGTTTAACTTCTATATCAGATTACTTGTAGGTCCTCAACTTCTCCGAAACGAAATACTCCGGGTTAGTGCTGATAAGACGGTTATAACCAATGCCCACCTCGACACGGAGGTGAGTTTACACGTACTTCTAAATACTTGTGGTATCAAAGATGGGGCTGATGGAATGAAGACTGAGTAAAATTGACTTCTAAAAGACTAGTGAGGGTGCATCATCGAGTGCGCTTTTGGTTGACAACTCTTACTGTAAGATGGTTCAATGAAATAGATTTTGGCCTTAAGGCTTTTTCAGACGTGCCGTATGCTGTCGTGCCAGCGCCGTGACAGCGCCCTTGTGGACGCACTCCCGTCCATCGATTGAAAGCGCTGGCACGGCGCTAGCTCGGCGTTGGCATAGACAACTCTGGACGCAGCCTAATGCATGGTACTTGGTCATTTTAGTGGTCCATGTAGAACAAATTCAGGACCCTGATACGCCATCCACTGGAGTATTTTTCCTGATCTCGCGACCTTCAAATGGAGTGGTTGTAAATGCCAACGACGTATCGAAAGCGATCTATAACTTCTCACAAAAAGATGTAGATGATTCTTCAGTGGTCTTCATGAGACACTTGAGTTAGTTTGGTCAGACATCATTGTCTCGAAATAAGATCGCACTTTTAGATGCATCTGGATCCGGTGGCTTTTCCTTTCTGCTCTCTGACGGTGTCCATCAAATCGGACCTGAATGGTTTTCTATCGAAGGCTGGACCAGCAATTCACCAGTATTGCAAGCGAATGCAAGACTAATGGCTTCGCCAAATGGGAGTACGGTAATCGGAGTGGAGTCACTACGAGCAAACATACCCAATGTAAGGCTTACATCTATCACTGTGCTCAAGGGTTACTGTAGCGTACCAGATATTCCAGGCGCGACCTGAAGAGATACTGTATTCTATATCGAGGACACCGAAGTTTGGAAAGATTATGGTGGATGGACATGAGACTGGGAAATTTAGTCAATATGATGTTCGCGTCTTAGCAAATACAGCTTCAAAGGTCTTGTTTCTAAAACATTTGATTACAGATCAACAGGAATCGTGTCACTTACAACAATGAAAATGTACGGCAGACCGAATGGACCAGAAAAGACGCATTTCATTTTGTACTCCAAAAGAATGGCTCGGATAAACCGATAGAGGAGGAGTTCAGGTGCTTCACATGAAAATTTCAAAATCAAAAAGTACGATTAGCATTAGTGCAAAAAATTGAATTTTTAAAAAATATCTGGGGTATAACTAAATTTACACATCTTTTTCCAAGGCTCCAATTTTGTGACCTTCTCTTATTTTTCCAAAAAAAAAATCTACTTCAAGCCAATTTTTCTACTCTCTTGAGTTTTTTACTGTGGGCTCCCGGCTTGCCCCATCGCGACGTGGATCCTGTTTCTTTTCAATTCTGAATATTTGCATTTCGCGTGAATACTGACCAGGAGACCTCAAATAGGTTACTGTTTGAGCGGCAGCTAGTGGCGGTCAGGATTTCGTTCGGGGAGGCAGGAGGGTTTACAAATATTCTTGAATGAAGGTGCGTGGCACACTTCGAAAGTTTTTGAGATGCTTCCCATAATTTTTGCGTCCTCACGACCCCCGACATTTTGGAAAAAGGGATGTGGGACACCCGCGTCCCCAAAAATTTTTTTCACACGGACATTTGAATTTCTGAAAATTCAAAAGATGATTCTATTTGTTTACAAGATTAAACAAGTGATCTACACATTTTTATGGCTCATGCAAGCGATTTAAAAAATTTTTGCGACCCAGTCAGAGGAGGGAGCGGCGCCACTGATGGCGGTTAGAGGAACGAAGGCCGCCAGTTTGAGCCGCCTCCGCGGACTACTGGTCCTGAAACGACATGCAACAACATTCGTGGCCTTCGTTCCCCTACCAGCTGATGGCTGGGGGCAGCTTATGATTTCATTTGTCTCCAGAAATTAGACTTCGTACCCTCTCCCAATACCGTACTCTGTTCGAGCTAACCAAGCAATGTCTAGTACGCCATTAGGAATTTGAGTCCAGTTTTCTGCTAAGGATAAATTCTATGAACTGCAGTTTGGGTAATTATCAAGCAACCCTGACAATCATGTAAACAAGCACTAAGATTTGTCGAATGCTGCTTTTGAATTGAAAGCCTTGAGCTTTTAGGTTCCGCATTTCCACTACCTACGCTGCTCTACAGGATCCTACTGTGAGATATGTGAAGACTTCCCCGCTGAAAACATCTAAAGGTTATTCTGATCATTAATCACCCTGCTCAGACAGTCGAAGGGATACCTCCAGAGCCAAAATGGGAGGGTCCCTCTGCCCAGCGGGGGTTTGCCACTCGTGCTCCGGAGCCCTCCCATTTCACCCATTTTGGTGCTCCGGGGCTCAAATCTGGCGCACCCCGGAGCAGAAATTTGCGAGCCCTGGGGAGGGATCCCATCCGCCTTCTTGTGACGTCACCGTGACGTGGCACCAAAATGGGTGAAGTGGGAGGGCTCCGGAGCACGAAGTGGCAGACCCCCGCCATTTGCTCTCGTATCCTTCGACTGTCTGAGTGAGCAATGGGTTATTTTAGTCAAATTTAGGAGGCTCGGTGGCTTTGACAGCGACTCATCTTGAAGCTAGTATGCTTGCTTCATCAGCGTCGGATGAGGTGGGATCTCTTATTAGAAGTATTTTTTCCATAATTTTCATTTAGAAGCTTATACTGGAAGTGTCAACCGCTCCTAGACATGGTGTGCTCGAGTTTCTGGACGGTGTTGCCAGTCAATTAACTTGGTCGGATTTCCAAGCTGAAACCAAACTAATTTATAGGCATGGAGTGGGTTCGCAATTTTTTAATAATCGGTTTCTGGATATAACAAGGGTGCTGAGGTTTTTGTTAAGGGTGAAGAGTCACGGGACGACTCGGTCACTTTCTTCATCTATCCAGCAAGTGAGAAAACGAGAAGATCCAGTCGTTTGCGTATTACCGTACCCATCCAAATCACCACGCTGCGGGACCCTCTGGTTCAGGTAACTTTAACCGTTCCAAATTATTTTTTTTCGAATTTTAGCTATACCGACCTAGTTCACCTGATATGTTATAACTGTCCCTTCCGCATCTCCTTACTCTAGAAATTCTTTCTCCAGGTCACAAGATTCCCGACATCGGTCTCCATTCGCAATTCCGGTTCACTCATATTATCTCCACAATATTTCCTTGCAACTCATCCTCATGTGCCATCCCAATCTATTGTTTACGAGATTACGCACCCAGGGGCAGCAGGAACAGCTATTAGGGTAAATGGACAGAAGAAAGGCATGTTCAGTCAAGAGCAGGTTGGTTGTCGTTTGTGTTGTCAAATTTCCGCAAAAAGTAATGAAATGACCCACCTAATCAGCGAGAATATGTATTGACTATTTATTGCTCGTTTGTATTCGAAACCATTTCTCATTAACAGGGCTCGGCACAGGTGGCTTACAAGCAAGCTGGATATCGTTTTGGGACAAAAAGCAAAGGGGGTTTCGTTTGTTTTTGTTTTTGTGGCCGAAAAGATACGAAATTTGCGACGTTTTTTTAGTCGACGTTTCGTTTTCTGGGGATTTTTAGGGATTATGGTCTAAGGTCAAAGGGGACTTCGTAAAAATTCGCAATAGTTAAGGGGGACGTTTTTGCATTTTCATCTAGCCACCTCGTGCCGAGCCCTGCTCATTAATAGCACATATTCACCCCTTGATTCAACTGGATTGGCGGCTGGAAGGTGACCGTTCGCACCCGTGACGCAGTCTGGGTCTCTCTTGCAAGCGTGCTCTCTAATCATTCCTAGCCTTGATTAGCCCTCAAAGCTCGTCTTCCAGCCGCCAATCCGTTGAATAAAAGGGTACCATTTTTTGCATTCAAAGGTGAAAAGCAATCAAGACACACTTTTGACCTACAACAATAACGGGCATTTAACATTTGATGTAGTGTAAGTGAAACCAAACACTGTATCCGCGCGGCATTCGTAGCTAACACTATTTTGCGATCTACAAAGACGAGTTTCTGTTTTTCAGTATATACAGGGTGTTTGGGAAGTTCCTGGCATCAAGTACTCCAGATGTAAATTTTTTGCAATTTTTTCCTTTGTTCTTTCTACTTAAGGAACCCGAAAACAATAGGAATTAACTTGTTTTTCACATCGTTGATTTTATGTAAGTCGGAAAAGATGATTAACTTTGATCAAGGATTCCAAGGAGTTTCGTGCGGTCATCAACGCGTTCATATGAAGGGACCTAACGCTACCAAAGTGAATACCAAAGCTTGACCGCACACAAAAAAACAACGTTCCTTCATTCAGCCTTTCAAAAACTGGATTAAAGAGTTCGAGTAGAACCGAACCAGCACAAACGACTTGACACGCTTTGGTTGCCCGAAAACGGCAAGCAATGAAGATAACCTCCTGAGCGAAGTCACAAACTAATAATGAACAATCGTCAGCTTGCATTTGGGATGTCGTTAAGTCTTTGCAGTACCCTCCATGGAGATCTGCAGATGAAAAAGCTCCAGGCACATGGGATGCCGCGCGCGCTCAAATGGAAAGGAAGCTGAGGCTCCCGCCAGAGTGCCGAAGTTATGCCAGCGCTACGTCAGCATTTCGATCGATACACGTGTATTTCGTTGGGGACATCTACCTGCTGAGCTAGCCCCGCCCCAACGAAATACACGTGTATCGATCGAAATGCTGGCGTAGCGCTGGCATAACTTCGGCACTCTGGCGGGAGCCTGACTCGCGTGCTGGCTGCTGAAGATTTTGAGCAAAATCCGAAAAATTCCTTAGTATTTTTGGAAGCGGTCTATGACGGTAGACAAAACACGGGCCCACCGCTACTCTCCAGAGTCTAAAGAGACATCACGAAGTTGGACTGCCGGAGGTGAACAGCACCCACCAAAGACAGAAAGTAAAACAGGACTCGAAAGCTTCTAGTCATCGTTTGTGGAATGCCAGGGGAACTCTGATGATCAATTACTTTGAGACAGACAGAACGATCAATGGCAAATACTAAACTGGACTTTTTCATTGTCTTTATACGAACATCCTCTTCAAAAGAGCTGCACTCTACAAGAAAAAGTCCTTTTCCATGAAGACAATGCGTTCGCACACAAGTCCTGCGAGTCCTGCGTGGCAATGGCGAAGTTTCAAGAACTGGGCTATGAATTGATCAACCGCGCCTATGTTCTTCTGGCATACAGTGGCTTTTTCCTCTTTGGAAACCTCAAGTCTCACCTGTCTTGAAAACAGTTTTTAAGCAGTGAAGGTCAAGGCCGCTGTGAAAGAGTACTTCTGCTCCGAAGAACAATCTTCTCATAAGAAAGGGGTAGGGGAACGAAGGCCGTCAGTGCCGTCTTTCGTGGCCAACTGGTCCTTTTGCAGCGTTGCTGCATGTCGTTCCAGGACCAACAGTCCGCGGAAGCGGCCCAAACAGGCGGCGTTTGTTCCCCTACCCATAAGAAAGAGATAAGGCGTACTAAAACGGTCATAGCAGGTGTACTGAGCTTCAAGGGGAGTACACTGAATAAATAAGTAGGTTTCTGATGTCTATGTACGGTTTTTCACTTTTGAGCCAGAAACTTTTCAAATACCTAGTATTCAATGCTATTCCATTTGTTCGGTGATTTCACTTACGCTACACCAATGCCAAATACCCGTCATTTAGTGCGCCTATTTGCTCAATAATTCTGAAGGAATGCGCAGGCCCAATTCCTCTTATTGATCTTCAGATTAACGAAGGTGCCGTAACCCTAATTCACGCTCCGTCATCGTCAACTTTATCATCACATGACGTTCTTGGATTTTCTGTCGAAGGACATTCTCGTGCCCTCATTGTGAAGCTCAAACCACTCGACTTAGCGTTAGAAAATCACACAGCAATAGAATATCCGCAGGGAAAGACCTATGTGGTGTTAAACCGGTGAGCATGGGGTAGCTTTGGGCTAAGTAGGGCAAATAGTGTTGATTTTCTTATTTAGGACTCATCTTGGTGCCTACGCAAATGGAAATAGATCGGCCATTACTTATAAGGTACGATTTGACCAGTGTGATGGAGAGGGAAGTTGATTTTCAGATAATAAGCGGACCAGAGAATGGCACATTTTACTGGGTAGCCGGTGAGAAAGAGGCTAAACAGTTTACCCAGAAAGACATTGATGAAGGGAAGATTCTTTATGCTCAGCTCAATATGCACTCGTATAAGGCAAGTTTATGTCATCCGACAGTACATGAGGGTAGAAAATCTATTTTAGGATAGCTTCGAATTCATTATGGCCAACACCGAGAAAGGAGTGGTACGCAACCGATCCGATATTGTCGTTACACCTTTAGTCATTGCTCAACCGGTGATTGTTGAGACTAACAGTGCAGTACCGTTGACACCCAGTCAACTGAACGCAAGTGCCTTGCAGGTAGGTCTTCCAGTCAAGTTTTCATTTGGTCAAAAAGCAGTTTAGGGTTCGACACCGAGGTTTCTGATCACGTCCACACCAAAATACGGCCGTATATCTTTGGATCCTGTAGCTAACCATTCTGCTACATTTTTCACATTTCCGGACATTATTCGAGGAAGAGTGTTTTACCAAGCTTTCAGCACGAATAGGGAGGTAAGTACTTTGGAGAGCAATTACTGACAGGTAGCATACGGTATACCTGCTATTTAAGCAGCATAGCAATTCAAAGACTACTGCCAGACAAAGGCGCAAAAGCAGTATTAGTTGAGCGGTCGCGACACGGCGCGCGCGTATCTTCACCGTTGTAAACCTTGCGCTTCATGAGCTTTGCGGCTTATACGCGTGCCCCTAGATTTTGCGTCTTCGTTCAGCAATAGCTTTTACCTGAAAGGGGAGGGATATTAGGTTGAAGGTCTGTTCAAGATGGGATTTGTGGAAAGTACTTGATTTTTCAAGAATCCCCACAACAGAAAAATGGCCTTCCAATAAGTTCTTTTGTAGAAGATGGTATCATAGTCAAGTATTGCGTATCTTATAGTAATTTCCGTTGGCCTTTAACTTACTATTCTTTTTTTTCAGTTCAGTAGCCAACCTTTAGCAACACTTTGCTTTGCTTACAGTTCCGGCTCCATTTGGTCAAATCATTCAAATCATTTTGTGTACTGCTTCATTTTTGCTGAAAAACCACAAAACCTTGAATTTGGCCGCTCTTAAAAAAATGCATAGATTTTTCCGTTCTTCAAGAATCAAACAGTATGCGCAGAATTGTATCGCACTCTATGCATAACCTCAAAATTTGCGTGCACCTCAATCAAAAAGAGATAAGTTATGGACGAAGTTGCAGAACTTATCTGCCAACCTAAGACGTTCTTCTCGTTTCCAAAAATGAAATAGTGCAACTCTTTTAAGACTTACGTCCTCATTGATGCTGTATGAAAAGATAACAGCGATCAGATGCGAATGGCACATAAAAGCAATCATTTGAAAAAAATCTCCCACAAAGTTAATATTATTTTTGCATAGGTGACCGAAAACTTGGAACTTGAAGTTCGAGCAGACAGTGTGCAACCGGCCCGGTTTATCCTACCTATCACTATCATTCCGACTGATACAGATGTTCAAGAGCAGCAAGAAAAAGAGGTGCGACGGAAGGATTTGAAGGAGGAAACGCAGATCGAGTCACCTCGCTTATCGCCCGTCAGCGAACAACTTCCAGTAAGTCACTAACTACTTGTTTCATTCAGCTTTTGTTAAACGCATAGCTCGATAATAAATTATTTAGGTGGTGATACTGATAGTCATTCTTGGTATCACCGTTTGCGTTCTCCTATGTCGACGAAGGCCAAAAAAGAAGCCTACACCAGCACCGTCTACACCGCAGTTAGGCTCCACGCCTCGTACATCATTACCGGAGAAACCAGATTTGTTAGGTGGGAATTGTCTTTTATTAGCTGCTGCTTAAGTTCTGTCTGGAAATACCTTAACTTCCTTCGAAATCAACTTTTTTTGATAAACTTAATTTTCCTGGATTAAGCAATCCTTTGGCTATCAAACACTACTGTAGAAGAAAAATCACCAAAAATTCTGCAGTATTTCCTTCATCCTGCCCTTCTTTGACGTGCTGCTCCCCTATAAAAACTGCAGGCATTTTAGTAGACATTGTGGATAGTGAAAATTTTGAAGATTATTTCATGACCAAAAAGAGTCCTTAAAATACTCAAGACTTAGAGATTGTTTTGAGCAAAGGGAAAATAGAACATCTGCTTGTAGAACTAACTTTCGACATCGAATTTTTCAAGCAAGACGATTCTCAAATAAAGTAAATTGGTGTATATGTTAGCCCATTACAACTCATTCGGTATCCGGGAGTATTGCGGAGAATTCAAAAGAATATGTGTTTTGGTGAACCATGATTCAGTTACCTGCGCTCTTGGCTCTGCATTCTTGTTAGGCCTAAAGCACACCTCATGCGTTTAGTCGCTGCGCTGGCATTGTGACGAATCTTTAAAACTTTTCGTGAGCGCGCTTTCTTTGGGCCAGACTTGATGCTTTTGCTACAACTTATAAAAGTTACACGCCTATGCATTTAAAATCTGCGCACTGTTAATCTGTAAACATCTGGCAGATTGCCATATCCCTTGAATGCATCTCGCAATTTGACGGAATCGCGGGGTGCATTCAAGCGAGCTCTGGTCAAAGCAGTGTTGGAAGCAGTACCGACGGATTGATTCCATTTTCTGATAAACTTCCAACTTCAGGGTCCACAGTTTTTGCTCAGTTAGGGAACTCTGCACCACCCCCTCGACAACCACTGAAAACTTTCGAAAGAACGCAAGTTACTCCGCTCAGCAAAAGGTAGAATTTTTCCGTTCTTTGTGCAGTATCTCAGAGTTCAATGGACAGTTTCAGGCGCTTACAGCCTTCATTGGATTACGCTGGGTTGGCTACGGATACACCTCCACCAATGCCGTTATTCAAGCAACTGGCGGCACAAAGATCTGATGCTCATCATTGGGTTTGATATACACTGCCTTTTATGTACAAATCATCATGTCCTTCATGCAAATAATTTAAAGAGTATATATAACAATTCACTTCTAATATATTGATTTATAACTGTAGAAGTTACATGAAAGATTTCATTGATATCATTCATTGTGATAGGCCCATAAATGGGGCAATGATAGCAGTCAGTTTTGTCTCTCACACATTCCCTCGGTTTCTTTTGCATACACGTCTCTACGCTTTCCTCCATGTTCCATTGCATGTCATCGCTGCCTTGAATTGTCATAATGTCTTCACATAAATGTGTTCAATTAAACGCTGTCTATTTGTTGGTACAACCCATATAGCCATATTCTGAGAGCCTCAGAAACAAACATACCCCAGCTTTAATATTCTTTCCATGCGAACGCGGAATTCAAAATTGAATAAACAAGAGCTTCACAGCGAAGAGGAAATAATATGACACCATGTTTGGTATGTAGATGTATAGTAGTGAAAAGCTACCACGTATAAAAAAATTATGAAAGAGTTGTTGAGACTGAAGACGTGGCAAACCTTTTCGGAGTTAAGTGGCTATCGAGACGCTTGGAGGAACAAAGTCATGATTTTTCCTCTTTTCACACAATTTTTACAACGTTTCAACATAACCTACAAAGTAATTTGAAAACCTCCCCAAACCTCTTCTTTCTCGCCTAGTCACAGCCCTTCAAAATTTGTGAATGGTGGCGGCAATCCAGCTCCAAGAGCTCGGTGATGCGCTCCTGTTACAGTATGCCAATTCGGAAAATGCAGACATCATTATTTCTTATCATTTTATTTTGTGATGTCCTCTTTGTTTTTCATGTTTGATTTACTCATGAACATATGAGAGGGGATGTCATCTTTGTTGCGGAGTCAACGGGGGATTTCGTTATCGAAAAAGTACCAGAGCCACACACTGCTAAGCCCTGATTCAATTAGAGCTACATTTAAGTAACAAGGAAGAGTTTCTAGTTGAAGTGGTCTTTCAGGATGAAGTCACACTAATTTGAATCAAAAGGTGTTGCGGGTTTGTTTTCATTATCAACCAAACTCCTCTGGACACCGAGTTATGCCAATTCCTTTGGACGTCGAGGACGCGCAACTGAATCAGAATCGTCCAGAATTTTCCGAATGATGGTTACCCGCTATTCTATTGTGCGCTAGAGACCGTAACAATTGATTTCACTTGTAATCTTGTAATCCCCGGAGAACACTGTAACACTTTAGAGCATCAAACGATGACTACAAAACTGCTCATTATCTCTCAAGCGCCTCCGGACACCGAGTTCATTTGAAAGGGCAACTTCGACTAAAATCCACCTTGTAGCCTAGAGTTGAACATGGCTCCACATTTAAACAATCCTTTCAGTCTGACTTGTCTTCATTTTTATTGCGCACACTTTTGAGTAGTTTTGCACTACACGTGAAGGGTCACAAACAAGGATAAATAGGAACAAAAGGCTGTATGTGGAGCAAGTCACGATTACCTGCAAGGAACGATAGGTACTTTTGCCGAGGGTTTGAAGCCTTGCGTTAAAGGCATTGTCCAGGCAAGTCTGGACACATGGGGATCTCACGTGGATAGTAATTTTGAGGCCCTAATTAAGCCATTGCCCAACCGGCAGCTCAGGTAGTGCTCTAACGGCTGAGATATTCCTCTCGAAGCGGGACTCCAGGATCGTATCTCGCATGGATTCATGGCCTTACGCGTGGATTCTCGCGCGAAACTGCCATGAATCCATGCGAATACGATTCTGGGGTCCATTTTGGACGAGCATATCTCAACCGTTAGTGAGTCACCTGCACTGCCGCTTAGGCAGTGCCTTAGAGCCCCAAAATTACTCAAATAAAATCGCCAGAAGTTCAGATCTGCCTGGACGCTGCCTTTAAAGGCAGTGTCTCACCAAAGTTGAGGTCGCGCGGATCTTCACATATTCTATCATGAGGACCTCGAGATAGGCCATTGCAACAAGTACCATCCAATTTGACCCCCTCCACGCTGAGAAAAATTCGCTCAAAGTGGTACGCCCAGAGCGACTGGGTACGCGCGGACGCTCCTTCGGTTTCCCCCCTTACGCGTTTGAACATGTCCCTCCATTTGGCATCCACCTCCCTTCTATTGCTGCCACTGTGGCTGAGACTGAAGTTGGGAGGTACAACTCGTCCACGTTGCTTCCGCGGGACCTCCAGAAAACGGGGTTTTTGGGAACTTTGTGCGATTTTCAGGCCCATACAGCGCTAGACAGGGTCCGACAGGCTTGCAAAATGCAAAAATCTGGGCAAATAAATTTTGGTGAGACACTGTTTTCAAAGCCCAAGAATGCGAATGCAATTGCTGTGCTGTAATTTAAACTGAGTAATTTTTTTCTTTTTTTATAGGAAAACGGACTGGCTCAAAAGCGGGTTCCACCCGTTTGGAGCCAGTCCGTCGTGCTCGATCTCTCGTGTAGCGAGGTTTACCCTTCTTTTGATTCCGACTCGTCTTCGGTTCGCTTCCTACCGTCTTTGTTATATGTTGATGACTAGCAGATCAAAATGAGGCTTCACCGATCATCCTTCATGACTATTTATAATGTGCACAGACAGAGAGACAGACAACAGATTTTCTGCATTATATGAATGAAGATAGTAGGCTCCCAGACTTTTGACACGATGTCGTTTTTTTTTCTGAAGAAGAAGATTGATCATCGAGGGTCTTACTTTCTCAAATTGCGGGCATTTGCCCCAACAGTCTTTTACCTCAAAGACAAAAGACTCCTTAGCGACACATAATCCACTCTTCTGAATTTAGAGGTAAAGTAAATAAAGGTGATCCAACACGAAACTCCAGATGGGTCATTGTTCAAGTCAAATTCGGCCCCTTTACCCGGAGAAAACGCATTTAAAGTGGCCCTTAAAGGCAGCGTCCAGGCAAATTCTCGACTTCTATATTTTTATTCCAGGCCTTTCCATGGCGCTGATTCCGAATATGGAACTCAAAAAGCGTGAATTTCTCAGAAAACCACCTTTTGGAGCTATTTTGGGAAAACCCGGACGAGTGCTTCTGGTGTTATCCTTGTCGAAAGCAAGTATTAACAGGTAAACGCTGTAAGTTCGACTGTGTTGGTCAGTTGAAAACACGTCAAAGCTGAGGAGATTTCGTAAGGGATAAAAGAATGGCCGTCCGAGAAAGGTGGGCGTGGTTGTCGAGCTCGGATCTGCCTGGACACTGCCTTCAAAGGAAAATTGACCCACACTGGCCGATTCACTGGTTTCTCATTTCGTATCAATACGTTCTTACAGGTGACGGCTACCCATTGGCGTATCTAGGGATTGCTGCGGACTAGGGTAAATACATGTCACTTGCAAGTTGCCCACGAGGCTTTCGAAACCATTTGGAGATTTTGAAAATTTGAAGCGTAAGGTTATACAGAGTGTATTATGCAAAGAATCCCGACATATAAATTTTGGTAAAACACTGTCTGTAAGCTTGTACACAGAAATTTCTGTGCTTATGGTATAGAGCTTGGAAGGTTCCACATAGCATCCGTTCACTAACAAGGGAAGCTACAATACCGCTCATAATTCGTCAAAAAAGTCGCCGGACTGCGGCGCACTCCGCCACACTCCGCCACAATTGACGATCCGGAAGGATCGTCAATTTAGCCATATCTCGCTTCAGAATGGACGAATTCTGAATCCGAGGACACCGTTCGATCAAGCTCGACGAGAGGGGCGCCCCCCCCCCCCCGAGAACGGGTCGCGAAATTTATGAAAGTTACTTACATGGGTTGTAAAAATGTGCAAGTGACTTGTTTTTACTTGTAAATTAAAATAATTTTTAAAAATTTTTAAAAAGTCAGTAAAATTCATTTTAGCCTTATAAAAAATTTTTTTCGGGGGCGTGGCTGACGCCACGCCCCCTTTTTCCAGAAGGGGTCGGGGACCCGGAAAAATTTTGAGAAGCACCCCAAAAATTTTTTTGGAGTGCGTGGCTAACGCCACGCACCTTCTTTAGAAAAAATTTTTTGTCGCGCCCCCCCCCCCCCGAGCCGAAATCCTGGGTACGCCACTGATAAAGCTGAATGATTGTTTGTCTGTCGTCTGTCTGTCTGTCTATATGTCTGTATGTCTGTACGTATGTTCCGAATAGAAAATTCCATTTCTGAACCGATCCGGACCAAACTTGGCACACATACACATCGGGATCCGGCGGGTGTCATGGGCTACTTTTCGTCATCGATCGCTATCGATTTTATCGATTTTTATCGATTTTTTTGCAGAGTTCACCTACGGGGATGGGAGTTGGCACAGGGGGGTAATCGAGCATGCTGATTACGAATATAATAATGACAGGGCCGGGCGGAGTCAGGTAAGTCAACTAGTCATCTTATATATGAAGCTGAACGTCTGTTTGTCTGTTTGTCTGTTCGTTTTGTTCCGAATAGAAAAATCCATTTCTGAACCGATCCGGACCAAACTTGGCACACATACACTGCGAGCCCCGGCGGGTGTCACAGGCTACTTTTCGTCATCGATCGCTATCGATTTTATCGATTTTTATCGATTTTTTTGCAGAGTTCACCTACGGGGATGGGAGTTTGCATAGGGGGGTAATCGAGCATGGGGATTCCGAATACACTATTAGTTTTTAGAATTATCGATTATTATTTTGGTTGAATTCAGTGTGCTGGTAACAGTATTACCATTGATCTGTCGCTGATGACACATAGACGGTATACTACAGGAGTATGTTAGAGAGCCACTCTAATCGAATTTGTTCTAAGATCTGCTCAAGATCACAATACCGCGCACAGAATGTCAAAATTTCCGTGAACTACGCGGTTCCGGGATTTTCGCCAAAGTGCACGATAATCCGGGACGTTCGCGACATTTCCGGATCCGCGAAACCATGCGAATCACGCAGAGTATGCAACGCCATAACTTTCTTCGGAATGAATATATTTTGAATCCAGAAGCAGCATCGTGTTCAGATCATCGAGGCAAATATTTTGATATACAGTATGCTCTCGATATTCCATTTCCAGTTTTTTCGAATTTTTCGTGTGGAGGTCTTTTCGCAAGGATGTAACGTAGCGTCTGTG